GAGAATCAGTCATTCATTTGTTATGGTTTGTGAAAAAATAAGTGAAACTGATCTCAGGTCCTAACACGGATAAGTTGTTACGAATTCGAAAACTGCCCCAAACCGAAAACGCCAAGTTAGCCTAGACTGCTCTACTCATAGTTTCGCTTGACACAGTGCGGGTAATGTCAGTCAGGTAATCGTACATTACGAATTTGATCTCAGATTGCAAAAATTCAAAATGACGGATTCAAGATGGCCCCCCTAAAAGTGAAAAATTACCCGATCTTGATGAAACTGAGTACTCAGGGGTTTTCGGGGTCGCTGATTACGAATCTGATCTCAGACTTATAAATTCAAAATTCAGAATACATAAAGTACCCAGTTTTATCTCGATCAAGTAAATTTTCACATTTCCGTCGGCCATCTTGGATCCGCCATTTTAAATTTTCAAAATCTGACTTCAGATTCGTAATCAGCGACCCCGAAAACCCCCGAGTAACAATTTTCAGCTGTTTTCCGTGTAAAGAAAAATGTATGCCGCAAAGGGTTAAGAGACTTTCAGCTAATAACGGAATATTCTGTATACTTCAAATATTACGTGCATGAAGATTGAAGTATAATTTAATTTGAAGTAAAGTGCGTGATTATTACTTCAGGAGCAAGTTTACGAAGGTACAACGAAGAAATTAGCGCAGGATGTTCTCAACGGCTACAACGCAACCGTATTCGCGTACGGCGCGACCGGCTCGGGGAAAACGCATACGATGGTGGGAACGTCGTCGAATCCTGGAATTATGGTGCGCGCACTGAACGATATTTTCTTAGCTACGAGAAAATTACCGGACGACGCAGACTTCACGGTGAGTTTCGCCGAAAAAATTTTTTTTCCCTTTGGTCTCAATTTTCTTTCCTTATTTCTGGATAAGATTTTCTCGTTATCGTTTCATTTCCTTCCCGTTTTCTTATCTCTATTCCACATCCTTAGATATTTTCCACTTTTATCTTCGGCAGATTCATGCGCTATTTGTGGCAATCGTTTTTTTACGCAATTTTGAACATTTTTTCTATTGTTTCTATACAAACAGCTCTTCTTCAATTGTAAATACAGCATTCTGTCGTATTGTTCGATTCACTTCGCATTCGTGCGTTTCCTTCGCAAATGTTTGAGAAAATTTTCTATTTCTCTTTTTGAAGTCCTACATTAAAGAGTCTTGCAGCAGAACATGTATATAGATTCTTTTTTTATCTATTGCGTTATTCGTGGGATGTTTTGAGTAAAATTTTTGGAACTTTACCTAATTCTGTCATTAAATCTTTTTATTTTGCACAATGGTAGGTCACAATGTCGTATATGGAGATTTACAACGAGAACATTCGCGATCTCCTTAATCCTAGCGCGGGATATCTGGATCTACGCGATGACACTCGAGGTCGCAACGTTATGGTCTCAGGATTGACGGAAGTCTCCACTAACTCGACCGAAGAAGTACGACGATCATTTATTCGATGCATGATTCATTTTACAGAAACATTCTGCAATTAAAAAAATCTTAAATTTTGCAGATATATAATACATATAAAATTAACCATACAACAATTTTTTTCTTTTAAAAAAGCAATTCTAAGAAATGTCTATTTAAGAGAATCCGATTTTTCACTTTTTACTGATACTTGTAAAAGTATAAGTCACCGAAAAGACGTTTCCACTCCTGGAATCATTTTTTCGCCAGAAAAAATGTCTGTGTGATTGAATTTATACTTTTTTCCATTTCTGCAACGTTTCAAGATCTTTTTCAATTTCTGACCTTTTTCAATTGTCAGACCTTCTTCGTCAAAAACGAAATAATACGAGACATTCATTCAACACAGGTGATGCAGCTGTTGGACAGAGGTAACAAAGCGCGAACAATAGAGCCGACAGCCGCGAATAAAACCTCATCGCGAAGTCACGCGCTCCTCAGCGTGACAGTTAGACAGTCCTCTCGGCCGTCTCAGGGTGGCGATCAGCGTTTGCGCCACAAAGTGAAGCAAGGGAGACTATTTATGATCGATCTCGCCGGCTCTGAGCGTGCTAAGCAGACCAAGGTGGGTCAATCTCAACCGGCTCCTTCCACGCGACGTGGAGAAATTTTGTATTAATTCAACATGATGTTGCAGAACAAAGGCAAGAGGCTGCAAGAAGGCGCGCACATCAACAGATCCCTCCTCGCGCTGGGCAACTGCATCAACGCTCTATCCGGCGGCGCGCGATACGTGAATTATCGCGACTCCAAGCTCACGCGGTTGCTGAAGGAAGCCCTGAGCGGCAACTGTCGCACCGTCATGATCGCCCACGTGTCGCCGGTGAACGCGCAACGCGACGAGAGCAGGAACACCCTGATCTACGCGGACCGCGCCAACAAGATCTCCAACAAGGTCGAGCGGAACGTGCTGGACGTCAGCTATCTGCACGTCGCGCAGTACCGCGACGTGATCAACGACCTGAAGAGCGAGATCTCGCGTCTGCGAAACAAGATGCAGGACGACAGGCCGAAGAGGACGGAATCGGAGAAGGAAACGGCGGACAACGCGCGCGGCAATGATTTCAGATCGCTGCGGGAGAAGATCGTGTCCGCTTTTAAGGAGCAGATGCGTTTAAGGTGCGTTCGCATTGTTTCCGCGAAAATCTAGAGCGTTATGTTTATCTCCTAAAATTCTAGTTTGATCGAAACTGGTCAATCGTCCATTCGCTAATTTCTCAACAAATGAATTCTCGCGACAGGAGGAAGCTGATGGAATTGGACAGTCATCTCTTGGGCCTGAATATCGCTGCCGAGCAGCAACATTCCGTAATCTCACATTGGGAATCGAGGAATAACAAAGTCTATGGAAAGTCACGGGACTCCAGCACGCGTCGCACCGGTACGGATTACCAAGTGGACGAGGTGGACGACATCGGTGAGTGAAGCGAAGTCATCGACAGCAACCGTCTAGTGTTATTAATCGGATAACAATTCGGTGCAAAGTGAAAAAGTGCAGAAATTATTTTTCAACATTTTAAATTCGTCGATTAATAAATTCTATAAACGGCGTTCGCAGTAAAGTTGACAATATCTTAATGTCCTAGATCTTTTAGAAGATACCGATCTGGAGGACGACCTGACCGTGCAACAGGCGTGGACGGAACTGACGGAAATCACGAGAGAGCAGGAAAGGTACGCGGAGATGCGCGCCGCTGCGGAAAAAGAGCTCGAGGCCTGCCGAAAGCGCAGCGCCACGCTCGAAGATGTAAGATCTAACTTTTCTCGTCTTGATCGTGCAAGTAAAGTTAAGAAAAAAAAAAAAAATGCGATTATCGTTGCGTGTATCAATTACGCGGAATCGCGGCATAATAATCGATAAATGAAATCGAGTGCGTTGTCTAGTCAAAGTTGAAAAAAAAAAAATGTTGAAGAAAACGACACGTGTTTCCTCCAGGAACTGCCATCGCGCATCAACTCGGACGAAGAGCGCGAGCTGTTGGCGCTGATGCTGAGAGTCCACGAGCTTGAAGCGGATAAAATGATGCTGCAGAGCGAGAGGCTGGTTAAACAGCACGAGCTGAGGCGTCGCGAGCTGCTGCTGCTGCGTTACGATCGACAGCGACAGATCTCCGACGAGATCATCACGAGACAGCGACGGATTATGGAAGGTCAGTAAGCGCTGATTCGAAGCGTTTGTACACGAATCGATAGATCACATATGCGAAAAAAAAAAAAAACTCCGATTAAAAATCAAAGATACGATCTTAAAATGTGGTCGTCAGCGCGTTTTAGCGAGCTGCATTCCCAACAATAATTCAATAAACGTTCAGCTTTTCCGCTCGACCGATAATATCGCAATCAACAGATGGTCGCTTGACGCTTCCGGCCGATCTGCAGAACCTGTACGCCATGTATCAGCAAGAGATCCAAGCCGCGACGTACATCGACAGCAGCCTCGGCGATCTCGCCATGTCGTCGTCGATCGGCCGCGGAAAATTGCCACCTATATCCAGCCGGCTCAGCAGTTACGACAACTTTAATAGCGACCTGCGAATAGCGAGCAGGTAGATAAAATCGCGGCGTGCATCAATCTTCCTCCTCGCCATTAAATTATCAGACGTGTCTTGTTGATCGCCGAAGGGAATCGAATTGTTCGCCTACCGCAAATACGAGATTGAAGCCGACGTTTCGTGCAAAGACATTTCATCCTCATTAATTATGCGAGAAAGGCTCGTGCTGTCGAATCCGCACAAATCGGCCCGATAGTACGCGAAATCAATGACGGTAATTGCAACTGTTTTCGCGAATGTCTAGTATATATACGTTTTCATGTGAATGCGCGAGGCGAGGAAACAACATTGTGTGTCTATCGCTTATCGCGATCGTTAGACACGTTATCGATCTCCCACGATAATCAACTCGCGCGTTTACGTGCACGAAATTGCCATAAAATTGCATTCTCTCTCTCTCGCGGGAAAAAATTACGCGTGCACGTTCAGTACATATATTAAAGAAAAATGTACATTATTAAAATAAAAACAGTTCCACGGATTCCGATTGGGATTCACCGCTGCCGCCGATTCTGGAACCGCAGGAAGAAGCGGATCACGTGCTGGGGCCAGTAGTGCAACCGTTAATTTCACCGGCCGCCTTGTTCCCGCCGATATCGGCGGCCAACGCGCGAAACCAGTAAGAAAATTTCATTCACTTAAATGCATGTCATTTAAAGTCACGACAAGCGCGCAAGAACACGTGTAAAATCCTGTTTTTAACACTAGAAACGTATCAGATCAGTAGTCAAATGAATCCTTCTAGCAAAGCCTTTTCCGTAAAGTTGAACTAAAAGGATAAAAGAGCTAAGCAAAACCCAATCTATAATTTAAAATAAGAAAAATCAGAGAATTATATAATACGTATACACACAACTCGTATAATCGTTAACATCGCATATGCAATGCGGAAAAATCTAGAAAGAGTGAAAAAATGATTCCTTTTGCAGTATTTCAATTTAGAGAGCGGCGTTTTATCGCTCCAGTTTCAATGCTAGTAAAATTTTATGCGCGTTTGCATATCTCTTAAAATATCTTTCATGTTTTCCTTTTTTTTTTTTGAACCAGCGATAAGAAGCTTCGTCGAATAGCAAGTGATGACAGCATAGAGTCGGGGCGATTTGTGCACAATAGTGATCGTTACAACGCTCTCAGATCGAGAACCGATGATCGCGACGCAGGAAGCTGAGGTAAAAATTTACTGTTTTGCAATAAAAAGCTAAGCTGAAAATTATCTAGTAAAATATTATTCATAAGACAGCCGAGATAAAAATTTGCTGTTCCGCAAGAAAATCTGACGCATTTATCTGATTCTCATTAATCATTAATTTTTTCCCCCGAAAAAAGTCTATTATATCCGATTAGAGACAAGTTTTGTCTCTAATCGATTTCAAAACGATTGTTATTTTATATTAACTTCGTCGATCAAATATAAAATCGTTTTGAAATAGATATTTAAAAAACCACAAGTATCCATTTCAGTTAGATTTATCCTTCTAAAACACATAAAGAGATTGAATCTGATTTTGAAAAACAAAAAAAGAGATTTTCTTTGCACAGAATATTGTATAAAAAAAAAGCCTGTAATAAACGTGAATTAAAAATTAAATAACTAAAATCAATAAAGCGGTTTATAACGTCACGAGACGTCAAGTCTGCCATGCTTCTCGCGGAAATTGTAAATTATCGTTTAGAACTGAGTCAACTCGATAAGAAATCGCTTTTATTGGATTTCTTTCTCGACGTGCCTTTCTTAAGGCTTTCCAATTATTCGGAAATGCGCCCTTATGCATACGTAACGCGACAACACACGGCAACCAGTCAGTCAATATCACCCCCCCCCCCCATTTATACGGAACAATAATATTTTCGCTCTGACATCGTTCTCGTTACTCATCCCGGCCATTACCTAACGAGAAAGATAGAACTTGACTGCGCTTTAACATGCAGCAATGTTTGTCCGCATAGCTATCCTCCATTGATCACGTTTATCCATTTCTCGCGCTTGCATTTACACAGCAATATCGAGGAATCGTGCCGGCGGGGCTCACTGTTGTAATGCAAAACTAGCGACTCCCATCTCGTTCGCGTTTCAAAGACGCATTAACTCTACTTCGAATAAAAACATCTCTGCGCGTAAACGATTAAAATCGTACTTTCGTTTGAAAATTTTATTTCCAAGTGATTCGAAGAATATCTAAATTTTTTTACTTTATAACGCATCGTCCTTGGCGCATAATGAAATTGCTCTGCAATTGTTCAAATGGATTTGTCAGTCGGTTAAAAAGTGATTGATCAATGTAAGATTGAATTTTATTTCCAAGTGATTCGAAGAATATCTAAACTTTTTTACTTTATAACGCATCGTCTTTGGCGCATAATGAAATTGCTCTGCAATTGTTCAAATGGATTTGTCAGTCGGTTAAAAAGTGATTAATCGATATAAGATTGAATTCTAAGTCTTAAAATCTTAAATTGGAAGTATAAAACACTAATGACGCGTCCTGGCGTATGTTTTATTATTCCAGATTAATCTTCAGGTGCTCTCGACGTCTCTCGCGAGCGGTATTGCGCGGCTTGGCGTTCTTAGGCGATTCGTGCTCGAATCGCTTCGTCGTTTTCTCGTCGTCCGCCACGAGCATGGCTTTAACGAGTGCCGAGAGGTCTACTGAAGCTACGCGACTGCTTCGTCTACGTGGTGCCGGTACGTCGGCCTGCAAGGCATCGGCGAGATTCTTAGCGCGATGTTTTTTCCGCGAGGCGTTCGTGGCTTCCGGTTGCTCGTATAACGATCGAATGAAGGCGCGCCGCTGATAACATTGATCGTCAGTTCGACGGGCGACGCGTCTATCTCGCGCTCGGCTCAGCGGAATGTCCTTTCGCACTCGGTTCAGCGAACGGTCGACGACGCTCGTTTTGCTCAAGTTTAACAACTGGAAACGCAGTACTTCGTGTTTCGTATTTCCATAGTAATTCATTTTCCTACGGTTTATCATAACTATTGGTACGCGTATCGATTGAGAACGTTTTCCACGTGAATTCTGCGTGAATTCTTCGCAAAATTGTATCGTAAACGTCTACATTGTTTATTTTTTTTCAGCAGACAATGTAAACTACAATTACATCGTTCAACAATTGATTGAACATTTAACTGAAAAATTGTAATATGGTATATAAAATATTAGAATCATTGCCTCTAAAATGAAATACGCACTTGCGTCAACAAAATTTCAACTAAAATATAAAATTGTCGTTTATAAATCACATATTACTTATACATGAAACATATGCGTAGTTTACATTGTCTACACGTAGACTGTACGCGTAAACGCACAATCTTAATTTTTTTATCCAAAAGTTCCATTTTTAAATGATCTAGAATATCTAAAAATGTTTCAACTTGTGTGATGTTGACGCAACATTGCGGAAAAAATTCTCAAAAATGTTATTGTTTCTTTTTCGAGACTGTAGAAATTAATGCAGAAGTGACAAGAAATTAAATTACAAGATCTTTCATGTGCTGTGTAAAGTGACGTCAAACTAGATTAACCAAAGATTACGTTTTCGCAACGCATCGGAAAAATATACGAAAATAATTAACTTACCGGAAACATTGAAGCGGACACGTCTGAGATACGTTGTCGTTTCTGCGCGGAGGCCTGCCGCTCTAACACGCTGTTTTCATCGTCAAACTTGATTCTCGTGTCTTCTTCATTCGGGGATACGCTCGGCGGTGATTTTTCAACATTTAAAGACGTCCATTCGTTCAACTGTTCGTCCCACTGCTTCTTCCATTCGTCCCAGTAGAGCTTGGTCTTACCGAATATCATGGGTTCGGCGAAGAGCGGACATCGCCTCCACGGCTACACTATCGGAGAAAATCGTTCGATAGAGTCGATCACTCGATCTGAGTAATCGCGCGAGTAAAACAAGCAGCGGTAAAATATCTAGTGGACACTTATTGCGCGACGTGGGTTTCAATAACCGCGAGGGAAATTAATATAGTCGAACTTTCGCATTCTTAACGTTCTATTCTTTCCTATTCTCAATATTTCTTCGCATTCGTGACAACTAAGCTTCTTCAATCTCTTCTCTCACGTTGCTCTTTTACTATTTCACTATTTACCATGAACGGAAATGTCGTCATATATGACCCTCTGCAAAGGAATCCGGTTTATGACAAAAAAAAATCAAGTTTTCAAGAAAAACACACATAATTTGACAACGTATTTTAAATAACCATAATTTTAAAATATCTACAGTATTTTATTAATATTTTACTTCATTTATATTTATTTCATAATAAATTTGATGTTTAATTTTCCTTGTTTCTCTTCTTTGAAAAGATTGTCACAAAATATTTACAAAAATAATATAAAATTTCTTTTTTTTTTAACTCAATTTCTATTTCAATTCTAAAACTAGCAACTTTACATCAGTTTTATTGATAATATAGTTTGTTTGTAGATAAATAGAGAGAGAATTGCGTAAATATAAAAGTTTTGTCATAAACTTTCTTCGAAGAGGTTCACATATATCTTTTTTCGCTCTCTTGCTTTGTCTCTGAACTTCAATGTGTGCAAGATGTTTTTCAATTTCTACATGTATGTATTACAATATGAATGAGGAAAAATTAAGAATAGAGATTATTTTGTCCCGATGAGCTAAGTATGCGAAAACTCGACTATAAGTACGAGCAAACTCTGTAACTACTTCCTTTTGTGTGATTATTACAAAATATATGTATAAAATATGTCGAATGTGATGTAAAATTGTGCTAAAACTGTGTTGATATATATGTATATATAAATAATATTAAATTGATCGAAAAATTTGTTTGCTTTTTCATACATGCTTTTATAAATTAAAAGAAAAAACATAAAAGAATGCAAACAAACTTTTTGATCAATCTAATATTTTCAAGAAGTTTTGTTATATTTTTCGATATAAAATACTATAGAACTTCAATTTAACTTGCTTAGTTTGGTTAGAAATAGCAATGTATAGTTTTAACATCATTGTCCCGAGGCCAAGTTATGCATCTTTTACCGATTTCGATCGCGCTGTCGAATCCGATTGCGCGTCGTCGTAACGACGAAAAGCTTCCATCTTTATGGAGAGTTGCTTTATAATCTTATCCATGAACCTGGACATTGCTTCCCGACACTGCGAGGTCATTTGCGCGGGATACGTTTGTGACAAGTATTCGAATAAAGACGTTACGAGATTCTAAACGAAAAATTTGATGAAACAAAACCGTTCGGTAACGAACGGCAACGTTGTTTTGGAAATTCCAAAGAGAAAATTATTGTTACTCTACTTATGTTTCCTTAAAGAAAGAAACAATAAATTCCTACGTACACACATATCTTGTTCATCTAATCGCATGTCCTTGTGCACCATCGCTATATAACCAACAAATCGATCCAACCGTTTCGGCCTATCATTGAAGTCCAATAGAAGATAACCCATTGTTTCCATGATCACTGAAAATTTCGTCATAGTATGCGCATCGAAGATCACGAGCAAATTGGGCTCCAGCGTAAAAAATTTCACATATTGCGGATAAGCTTTGCAAAAGCTGAAATCATTTTTTGAAAAGAAATCAACATATTTTTAAATAATTCTTTGATTATTGCTTATCAGCGTGTATTGACGAGATAAAACATCCTTTCTTCCCTTCAAACGCGCGATTTTACCTCATGAGCCAAGCGTTGCCGTGAAATTGAGGGTTAATTTCGATCCCCGACCAGACTTTTTTAACCAATGCATATTCTTCCGCACTGAATCTATAGTAATCCAAAGTACCAGGTTTCTCATAGATACTCTGTTTCGTGCCCATTTGTGATAAACAAGAGATACTATTTGTAAATAGCGCGCGCAAAATGTCATGTTCCAATTTAATAAAACCTGAATGCAACAGTGTGAAGTATGCGACTGAATAGCATTGTGAAGTAAGCGATTAAAATTCTTGCTTGTTGAGAACTCGTATCTGAAATGCACGTTTAAATAAAATAATTTTTCATAAAGAACAAAAAACAAGATGTATGCTGTAAACTGATGTATAAAAATAGAAAAAAATACTTACATCTAATTTTTAATCTATTTTGATGTACATAATAAATATATGTTATACAAAATATAATATTAAATTGTATTTTTATAATACAATATGTACTTTTACAATATCTAAAAATAAAATATAAAAAAAAACAAGGGACAATGGTTAAAAGTTATCACCTACGACAGAACAGACATTGCGCCAGATGTATAAATCTTTACTTGCCAATCTGACAATTTAAATAAATGCGTCGTTTCTTCTGGCCAATGATACTTTAATCTCACAGAGTCTATCCTCCAGTGAACGATCAATTTACCAGACGTATCGCTAGAGTGTCCTGTCTTAAACGGCTTAGTCGCAACGCATAGATGTGCCATGTGTTTCAACACGTTAGCAACAGCATCTGCATTTGAAGTCTGTGGATCCCACTGATACGTATGTGTGAGAATACAAAGCTGAGACAAGGGATGGGATGCTACAGACGATCTTAAGTATCTTACAAAGTACATGGTGTCGCGCATACTAAGGCCAAGATCAAGCAAATGATTTATGTCATCAACAATAAGGACAACAGATCCCTGAAACTTTGCTGCCTCATCGTAGCTCTTTTTGACGCATGTAAAAAGTTTGTGCACAATATCCATATGTTCTGCTGAAATTGCATCTGGGATTACAATTTCCTCTTTATCCATGGAATCATTACACAGATCAGCAATGTTGTTGGCTACAATTTTCATCGGCTCAACAACTGTAACTTGACCCTTCTCTTTTAAAGCTAAAAGGTTATAGCCGAGTCTCATGCCGACATTGTGATAGTGACCAAAAGTATTATGACAAAGAACAAGACAAATGGCTTGCATTTTCTTCAAGGCGTGTGATAAAACGGCATTCAACAGGAAATTTGCGTTGGTGCCGTGTTGCTCCTCGATCAAGATCATTTTACCATCCATATTTACCCTGTCAATTCCAAGAGTATTGCATACCATTTCCATTGCGCTAGTCATAATAAATTCTGAAAGAAAACAGTGCAGTATTATTAATAAATGTAACGAATATCTTCACCTTTGTAAGATGTTTGGCATGATAGTCCCTTTGCAGCACATGATTACTGCATCGGGGTGGAAATGCCATTATTTCTCTACCTTCAAGGATTAAACTGTGCCTTCAAGAAGCGAAAGACGCAGCGTTACAGTCCTCAAAGGTCTACAAAAATTAAATAGTGAAAGAAATAATCGAGATATATCGGAATCTTTGTAATGTTTTCATAACCTATAAAGTTCGCACAACTAAAAAGTGTATACGGAATATAAACATGGTTCAGTCATAATCTATATTTTATTTAATAATACGTTTGCTTCAAAATAAACTTTATTCATTAGTTGTATTTTTTCATTTACCTTTATCTTTCGGCGATAGCAACAAAATTGTATAGAAGTTCTATAATAGAACAATTACGACGATTGGCGCGATTGCAGCTAAAACTCGAAATAAAATAGCACTGCAATATTATCGATATAATACTATCGATAAAATAGATTGTCGATATAATATCATCGATTTTATAAATACAACACAAATCGATTAATATAACAAAATTATTTGTTTAAAAATTTAAGATTATACAGTCAAACTTTTTCGATTTACCTTCTAAAATATTAATAATATTTTAATTATAATTAGAATACTATAATAATTATAATTGTTTCATTAAAATTATAAATATATAAACATTTATCAATGATATAACAACATAATTAAAACAACTAACAAAATGCTAACTATATTTTACACATTTCTCTATCTGTTTAGGTGGCAATTTTGTGAATAAGATATTCTGCGAATGTAAACAAATTCATAAATTCCACAATTGTTTGAACGATAAACATTATTATCTCGACAAGGCCATCCAGCTCTTCGCTACTTCTATTTTATTTGATATTTTGAAGATCAACGCGCATCTTGTGACTCGCGACTCGCTAATTCTAATCAAACCCGCTAACTCCGATGCAAACTAACGCACAGCTGCGTACCGTCGGCTCGATAAGCGATAAGCGGCGGATAAATCAATGATAAAAATATACTTTTACTCCCTTCACTCCATCCTTGGACTACAGTATTGCGCTCTTTCTCTTTCAACGTCAGATATCGCATATATGTTTACACGTGGCCGTCAGCTGATATATCGCGCGCTTGCCGCGCGCCACTCAGCAGCATCTGCTCCTTCGGAAGGTTTCGTATCTGTACATCAGTCGGAACCCAGCAGTTGTTGGAGTTGGAGTGTCGTTGACGTTATTTTCGCTATCGCCGCCGAGTATCGCTGTGAGTATGCTTTGCATTATTTAATTTTTACTCTATTTTACTCTCGCCGAAATTCGAGTTGCTGTTTCACAACGATAATCAAACGATATGGCAATACGAGGCTCAGATCAGATTTTCAGATATCTTCAAAGTGAGAAATGTCACGATATCGATTTCGAACGATTAAAATGCGTGCGACAGTTAACGACGTACAATTGCAGATCGAAGAGTGTTTGTCTATGTGCGACGCCTAAATTTGCATAATTATAATAATTAATTTATATGCGAGTCGTGTACGGCTTTTGTCTTTTCTTTTCATTTATACGCTTGTGCGCCTTTCTGTCTTTTGTCGTACGAACATTCACTGCAAACAATGACGAAGCACTCGGCGCAAAACGGCGATTTGCACAGTGCGAGAATTAATCTGGCTCACTCGAGGTCGTTGTTCCAAAAAAATTCATCATCGTACGCGAGTTGCGCGTATTTCGAGAATCAGTAATAGCTGTTATCGCAAGGTCACTGTATTTTAATATTAGCATCGCTTGTGTATAATCTGTTTAGTCAGGATTTTCGATTTAGTAAGAGCAATAGAGGGTCACAGATGTTGCAACAGTAATTTGCGCAAAGAGAGATAAAAACTTTGAAATATTTAATATTATTATATATAATATTTGTATTGCCATAGAAAAATTTATCTACACATTTTAGAAAACATAAAATTTGCGTATTTTTTAAATTTTATATTATAATTACTATTGTGATTTTTCAGCCTTGTCTTCCTGCAGCAAAAAATTTTTAATGTTAACATGGGAGCTGTCATTCCAACATAATGAGCAAACAATGTTTTAACTCTGTTTTATAGATAGAAAAAGGGTAAGATAAATTAATTACCTACTTAAAATTATTAAATAGATCCATATATCTCAAGCAATTTTTCTGTTTCTACAGTGCCATAAACTTACTTCTATTTGTTGCTTAATATGAAGTGGAAAGGATAATTATAGCAATGGCAGACAAAAGTAAGAAATTATCACGTTGGTATTTTGGTGGTGTTTCCTCCGCAGCTGCTGCTTGTGTGACTCACCCTTTGGATTTACTGAAGGTTTTTTTCCTTTTTCTGAGAGTAACTTTTATAGAAATTCTATAGCTACTTTTTGACAATATTTAAACTTACTGAAATATACTTTTTTGCTCTACTTGAATTTTTGCAAATATTTATTAAGAAGTCTACAACGGCATTGAGTGAACATAAATATACATAAGATGAATTTTAAATGAGCACAAATGAGATATGCGTGTTTTAATATGTATCCAAAAATTAAACAGATATATTATTAAAAAAAAAACTTGTAGACACACACAATCTGAAAATGATGATTCAAATTCTTTTTAGGTTCACCTGCAAACTCAACAGGAAGGCAAAATATCAATAGTGCATTCGACAATTGGAATAATTAGGAAACAGGGAATATTAGCTTTATACAATGGACTCAGTGCTTCCCTGCTTCGTCAACTGACGTATTCCACAATAAGATTCGGAGCGTACGAGGTTGGTGAACACAAAACTTGCGTGCGTTAAGCGTAAACACCATCTATCGACACAGGAAGATTGTAGAGAAACATTGCAAAATGTAATATTTTTATAATTGTTTGAAATATCACTGCAATGCCATTGCGACCTTGTTGAATTCTTGCGATTTCGCGTCTCTATTTATATTGTCTGCAATATTGCATCGTTACAATATATCTGAAAAATTTCTTGAGGTCATTTCTTTCACAGTTTATATTATATATAAATGGTATTATTTGAAATATAACAGGTCGGCAAGCAGACGCTCGAGACACCCGACCGTCCATTACCATTTTATCAAAAGCTACTGCTGGCCGGAGTTTCCGGTGCTACAGGCGGCGTTTTCGGGACTCCTGGCGATGTCATTAACGTACGCATGCAGAATGATATCAAATTACCGTCCGAACTGAGAAGAAAGTAAGAACGAACGTTTTTTTCGCGTATACTCGTTACGCCTCGAGCGCTGGGTTTTCCTAATTACTTGTCCCTTCATTTCACAGCTACAAGCATGCTTTGGATGGATTGTTCCGTGTAATTCAGCAAGAAGGGGTTCGTCAGTTGTTCAGCGGATGTTCCACCGCCACCATGAGAGCAGTGCTGATGACTATTGGACAATTGAGCTTTTACGATCAAATAAAAACAACATTGCTACAAACTGGCTATTTTCGGGATAATCCATCAACGCACGTTTTATCCAGCGTGTCGGCTGTGAGTGTCGACGAAGATATTAACAAAAAAGATTGATTTCCAAATTTTTCTTGTACTTAGAGAGTAATGATATTATATTTTGCTCCTATTTTGTCTCCTTAATAGGGCGCAATTGCGACAACGCTTACGCAACCTTTAGATGTTCTGAAAACACGAGCAATGAACGCTAAACCCGGAGAATTTAAAGTAAGTATATCCAGATGAAATAAATTATGTAAGAAGTGCACGACTTGAATTTGTTTACAATAATTTCTTTATACAGAGTCTGATGGAAATCTTCCTACATACTGCCAAACTTGGGCCACTGGCTTTCTTTAAAGTATGTATAATTAAAAAAGAATTCGCATATCAATATTGCGAAATAATTTCGATACAGACTTCTTCAATGAGAATCGTTTCTGTTTTAGGGCTATGTACCTGCATTTATCCGATTAGCGCCACAAACTATCCTTACATTTGTGTTCCTCGAACAGCTTAGATACAATTTTGGGTTTTATCCAGAATCAGTGAAGCCGTCGTTATAAATCTGGATGGCTTTGATGAGCAAAACCTATAGCAAAATTTTAAAACAAATTTACATTACATGACGAATGGCACAGGGTACAAATGGACGGAAGTGTCAAGCCTCGCTATAAATATGAAGAAATGGTGATTCACACAAAACATTTACTACTTAGAAATGATTATTTATATGTGCTATCACGCATACATAGTCAAATTATTTAATTAAATAAGTTTTTGTTAGGTTTTTATCCAGAAATTGAAAAATATTTTAGTAATTATAATATTTAGTCTTACGGATTATTGTATCTTCCAATCGATGCATTCCATGTATTAATGTGATATACGCTTGGACGTATGTTATACACGTGCGTGCACGCACATATAGACATATAATTTGTGTGCATATATATACACATTTATACAAATTTATATTTAGTTATATCATCTTTTGCGTGCGCACAGTGATTTTGTTAGTACAAATAACAGAGGATATATATATTTATCTATAAATATTGGCTTGTACAAGTGGTTTCTTCCAATACAGCATGGAATATTCTATGAATGTTCTACGAATATTCTTTAGAATATTAATCTAATAATTAATCTAAGAATTAATAATATTAATCTAAAAACACAAAGCAACGAAAATGAAACAAAAGAAAAAAATTTATCACGAAGCACAAAAGAAATGATTGTTAAGATAAATGATTGTTTTACATGTGTAAATATTCGTGTAAATATGTAATATATTATATATTATAATATATTGTAATATATTGTAATATATTATATATTATATAATATACATATCCGGCGGATATGCATGTTGTGTGGATAGTAACGTAACGTTAATATTATTTTAACTGAATATTTACACATGTACTTTACGATCCTTTCTTTTGTGCTTCGTGATAAATTTTTTTCTCTTCCATTTTCGTTACTTTGTGTTTTTTGTGCGCCCGACGTCGCAGGAAATTGTAATGATGCAACGGGCCCCGTCGCCTCGCCCGGAGATGACATGCTGGAATTTACTGTTGTGCGCTTTTTTTGTGCATCTTGGCGCCCTGTAATTGGACTGCTTTCAGACTCGGATATAACGCCTGGCGAGAGTGCGCAATCTTTGGGCGCAAAAAGTAGATTGATGACCTTGTGGGCGAAATGTTCATAAAACATTTGTAGATCATTCGAGAATATTTATAAAAATTTCTAGCGGGACATCACATGTTCTTTGCACATTCATAAAACACTCATAGGATATTCATAAATATTCTTTAGAATATTCGTAGAACATTCATAGAATATTCCATGCTGTATGGGTTATTAAGGCTTCACATAGCCTCATTAAGGCTTCACTTCATTTATTTCACAAATGTTATATCTACAGTGAACGGAATTGCCAATGAAATGTATAGTACAATTCACGAAAGAGTTTTAGGTGAAAAGATTATAACAAATGTATTTTTTTTAATTACAAAAAGAATGTGTATACGAAAATATATTATTGCTTAAACAGCGTGAATAGGTTGCGACAATGTAAAATATTTTGATGACAGATGCATTGCCATTAAATTTTTTAACCACCTGCACTACTTACGAGAGTGAAAATACGAAATATATATTTTTAATCTTTTATAATCTTTCAGTGAATTATGCGTTCATGTCACCCGCTTTGTTTCAAACAATTGACGAATGACAGAAATTGTAAAATTATAATATAAAAATAAATGCATGTTTAAAATGTTTAAAATGTTTAATGTTTATATTTGTGCATGTATATCCACGTCCATGCAATTACTTAATCTGTACACAATAGATGCACATATATCATTATACTTACTTAAAAGAGAATATAATTTGTTTGGGTAAAGTAAGATTCGTAAATGTCGACAAATCATCTTCTGTGAAAAACTGTTTTGCATAACTTTCATAGTCTTTTTTGCATAAGATTGATTCCAAAGTCTTTGTGTTTTCATTGGACAACAAATTTACAACGCCTGGTGGCACATTAGACATTGAAAACAAGTCACAATATGACAGATTACATATTAGACTACAGGCTTGAATACCACATATCACAATGACAGAATTGCCAGCAAATAAACTTGCTATCACGCGATAAAGCAAAACATTTTCGTCTAATTCTTTAATAACAATAACGCCTCTGGGCTTACGAATTCTTGTTACTTCTAATCTTCCATTTTGAGTGCAAGATAAAGATTTCTCATAAGTGCATAAGAATTTCACCAATTTTAACACTTTATTTGCCAATAGAAATTTGCTAAAAAAAAAAAAAATTGTTAAAAAGTAATCAAACAGAAATATATGTACAAAGTAAAATATGATACAATTTTTTTTATATACAATAACATACCGATTGCATTCTAACAGGGATACAAATTTTAATAATATTTGCATTCTTGCTTCAGTAGACTTGGCGCTCCAAATTTTAAATCCTTTCTCAGCTGAATTAATGCATCTATTGATGTCATCGCTATAATAACGATAAATTTAATTACAATACTATGTTCTGTTATACATTTCAAATTCAATAATTACTGCAGGAGTGAAATAAATATTGCACATTTATACCTTGTTGCGTTTGCCCACAGTTCGTTGTATGTACCATGATTGTCATATATCCAGTATGTTCCTTTTACAGGTTGTTGCCATGTGCCATCGTAGAATAGATTTCTAAATATATCATTAGTTGAGTATGCATCTGATTTCAATGGACAGATACCAAGGCTACATTTATATGGCAATGTTCTGCTAAATATTTTTACATAAGGCAAAAGCACGACACCACCAGAGAAATCCATATATGTATTTATAAATACAACGTCTTTCTAAATAAATAAAAATAATGTTTCTTAATAACGCTTAAAGATGTCACAATATATTGAATTACATCATTTAAATGACATACATTTAATAATGCCGCTACATTCTTTGCAGTTGCAAGATTTTCTGACCATAAGGATATCATGCTTGTTACATTAGATATAGTGGGTGTAAGCAATTTTTCTGTGGGTTGGCATGATCCACTAAAAATATGAATAGGAATATTTTGATTCTTAAAATATTTCTCTATAAGCCACAAAGCCTTTTCTTGTATCGATCTATGGATCCAAATTATGTCATTTAGACAATTCTTGGCACTTTTAATTCTCAAGTAGCTGATAGCTGCATACAAATCTGAATCTTTGAATAGTATCATTTCATTAATGCAATGACCTGTACAAATTAAACAAATTCTTTTATTGTAAAATAAAGATATAATTTTGTTATATTATAAGTATTTTTCTCTTACTTAAAAATATATTGTCAAACTTGTCAAATGCATCTGTCGAATTCAATGTCGAATTTTTGCTAAAACAGAGAAACAAGTCTATGAAATTAATGAAATATTAATACATATTAAATTTAATATAAAAAATATAAATAATTGAAATGTTTAAATACAACACATTTTTAAAAATAGTTACATGATTGCATTTTTCAAAAATAACTGCACTTCAGGATCTGAACACATACTGAATAATGTAAGCATTACTGATAAAACTACATCATGACTTGTGTATTCTTTATCTAAAAAAAACAAAAACAAATAAAATGTAAGAAACTAAAAAAGGAAATAATTTCAGCAATGAAGTACATTCACCATTCATTAATATTTATATTACAATCGACTTCTTAAAATCGTGATATTTAAAAACTACAAAATATACCATTTTAACTAATAATTATTATGGTTTCAAGGGATCATAATCTCTAAATATTAATGAGTGTTAAATATATTTCATGGCTGAAACTACTTCCTCGTCCTGTGTATACTTTTATATATAATAAAGCACAAAAATTCCAATAACATAAAATCAGAATATTTTTACAATTGCAATTACACTAATACACTTACCAAAAAAGTTGCCAAAAACAAATTGCATACCAAAATTAGTTAAATATTCAATAATAGTAGTGACATCGTCTACATGTGAACAGCGAGATTTAAAATCAGACAAATTTTTTTCTATTACAGATGCTGCTTTAAGAAATCTATAAATAAAAGAAGAAAATGTTAGCAGTGACAAAAATAGAAGTAATTTTTGTATTTTTATCTTATATTTTTACTTGTATCTTAAGATTAAATACTTCACCTCTCTGCGAAATCATTGACATCTTCAAATGTCATTTCCTCAGATAAAGTAGAAACATTTATAAAAACATCCTAAAAACACATAAAAAATAATAATTATGAATATTTTACTGAAAATACAATTTTTTTCTCTTTAATAGTAAATTTGTTATAACTTGTTAAACATATTTATTTATTTATACGTTAAAATAATGCAAATATACTGCATATTTATATATGTCGTGCGTATGTTAAACGCATACTTACATTATTCCATTTCTTATCATATTCTAGATCAGTATAATATTTGTGTATAGCATTTACTCGCTCAGGCATGATTATTACTCAATGAATTCCAACAGTATTTATTAAAAAAAATAAAAGAAACGTCAGTTGTCACTATTGCACGGTAATTTTAAGAACAGGATGGAAGCAATTTTGTACTAATAAAAAGATTCTTTACTTTTATATAAAAGCAAGTTATTATAAAAGGCACCTTTTAGCTGATAATATTTTTACAACTTCTGATAAGGAATATCACACACACAAAGATAAAACGCACTGAACTATATACACATTAGAATGTGCTGTGACTCTCAGATGTGGAATGACAAAGAAAGCAGCAAGTAAGTTGTGTCTCTTTCTTTTGTAGGCGCATTAAAAGTTTCCATCTTCAATCACTATTTATCTACACATTTACAACCATCATTAAAAATACGTTTTCAACACGTCTACAGAGACAACAAAATAAAGCAAATCTATTGTCCTTATCTTGTGCACCAATATTAATTTTATACGAGAAGTCGTAAGCCAGTAAGTAGTCAGTCATTAGTTAATTATTCTATAAATTTAATTAGTCAAAATTCTTAATCAAAACTAGTTTGCGATAGCAGGCGCTAATATTAATTGTAAAATCAAGTATGATAGTTTTACTAATTATTCTTATTATTCCACCATTATTCTATTGCTTTTATAAATGAGTCATCTAGACATTTAAGTTCAAACTGCAATCAAATATATATTTCAATTCTTTTAAATAATAATTAATATTAAGTATGTGTAAAAAGCTGTGAATAATGCTAATAATTACATAAAAAGAATTGATAGAATAATTTATTTTAATAACTTCTATATTTATTACATATCACTATATATTTATATATTTATATACACACACTCGCGCGCGCGTCCGCGCATACATTCACATCGTACAATAAAATTTTTATTTATAAAAGTTATCTTCAAAATATAAAACCATATAAAATTGCATATGCAAGAATTTTACATTCTGAGGATAATTTTTATATACATAAAAATTTTAAACATTCTTTTTTGCATATAAATGATCGAGGTGGTATGAGCTTTTCTCAACACTTTTAGTCTTCAAGTGTTTTAGCAATTGGCGAATACTTAATATTCTTCGTTCTCTGCGATGCAATTTCTTTTGAAGAATTTTAACTTGGCGACGTAATTTCTCTTCAGCTTCGGATGGCGCCAATCGTCTTGGTGACATTTGTGTAGCCACATTCTAACATAAAAAATATAACAAAGTAAATAAATATTAATCCAAAATTAATATGAAAATTGTATTATGAAAAATTTTACAAACCTGAGTCTGAGGAGTGCTTTGTGTTGCCTCATCAATTGGAGTTGGCAATGATGACAAAGGTACAATTGATAAGAACATTTTCGATGGCTGGGTATTATAATCAACAAAGTCGTTACAATGATCGATATTCACATCTTCTGATGTATCATGTTGACATTCCTGTACTGGAATTTCATCGTTCATGCTTGTTTCCTTCTGCAGAGAGTAACGAGAAAGTATTTGCCACGCTCCTTTTCTATAGTAAAACTGTTACTTTTAAAATTACTTACATTCTCGATTGTATCACGTGGAAATCTATTGGGAATTGCCTCCTTTTTCAAGTATCGCTTACCGGAAACACAATCGTACTGGGATTCTTCAAAGTGGTTACTACATATTCGAGAGTGTTTAGTAATTCGGTTATTTGTTGGTATAACCTGCAACCACTTTTTCAACAAGTCTTCATTTTTCAATGGAAAACTAAGAAATCAAGTATTAAAAAATTGTTGAAAGAGAGAGAGAGAGAGATTTCTTTGAAAATTGTGTGATGTTATACAAGTTCATGTGCCTATATAAATGTTTACCTGAAAAACGATAGGTCAATATCTGGTCGCCACGTTGTTTTGCAGCCTTCAACGCAACAAAATCTCACCATTTTAAATCACTGAAGACAAAATGGAAATTTAAAAACCTGAAAAAATAAGATATAGTCTTATATCTTATTGCGTTTGTGTAAAACCAAGGGCGGTGACGCCAGATTTAAGACGTAAGTAGCAAGTAGCACGAGGGAGGAAACACCGCACCATAAGCTACGTAGAGAGCGGACATATGTCTGTCTCCTGTTTCTGTCTGCTTTATTATTTACCGCTGATGGTAAGTGCTCTCTCGTCATTGCAATAGCTGACCAAGAGATGGCACTGTGTGTGTGTGGTTATGTGTGAGTATGTGATATGAATATATTTATATTATATATTTTTTTTTATTGGAACCGTTCTCCTCAATCATAAACTATATAAACAATAAACAAGACGTGCTGATGTAAGAGTATTTCGGTAAACGGATTTCGATCGTTATTGAATTTGTATTTATGTTAAACAGGAATGAAGGGCATATATGTTGAAAGTTATTCCGCTATTTGACTTGTAAGTTTGATAGCTCGGCTTTGCATTGATTAAGATCGTCAATTTCGTTTGATTTTGTCAATTAATACATATACACATTAATTATTTGTAAAGAAAATTGATTTCTAATTCATTTGTACACGTATTGACCCAAATAACAATTCTTGCGCGCAAAGTTTGCGCGTCTTATGCAAATAATCTGTGTAGCAGTTTGCCTGAATTTTGCTCGTGGGATATGTTTAGTCGTGTATAAGTCGTGTATTGCTCGCAAAGTGCAAGCGTTTTGCAAGTGTGCTAGCATTTTGCTACCGCTATGACAACGCACTGGGATAAGGTTTTGTGTGCGCAGTATGAGCCATTTTTGTACGTGAATTGTTAGATATTTATGGGCATAATGTTTTCTGGGGAAGGATCGCGCGAAGATCTTAGACGTTACGCACTATATAATTAAATACTTGCAGAAAATACTTGTAAACTTTTCATTCTTCTTATCAGGAAATATTCTTCAAATACACTTATATCAATAATTTTCACAAATAAAAAACAGTCTTATTGTATATAAATAAATCTCTTTTTCTGAATTTGTACATATTTTTGTAAAAACTTTTCCACTGCTACAGTTACTTTCATAAAATTGACCTTTAAATATAATTATAAGCTTATACAGGTACTATAGTCATATAAATGCGTGAGGTAGATAAATGCTTCTAAATTTATCCAACTCTAAACAATCAGCAGTTTTATGCATTAACTTACTATAAAAATCTGATTCTAGTTCTAATTCACATAACAGCTTTTATGAGTTAAAACAAAATTAAACATATATTAAAATTATGTTAAATATATTGAGTATTCATATAAGATTCTAACTAGAACCACGTCTACGCGTATCCTCCGTGTTCTCGTTAATTCCACCATACGTTTGAATTCTCATTTGCAGTGGGCTCGATTCGTCCTGCAAATAATAAAAAGATATCATCAAATCAAAGTAATAATAAGATATAATTTTTCTTTCATATGTTTACGTCTGAAACGTCAAAAAACGTTATGTGTGTGAAACCAGTTTATAAAATATATTGTACATATTAGTGATGAATCATGTAAATGTATGACTACAACTATTATTATAATTTGTACACATAAGCGTTGCAATTTTATTATAAATATTTTTAATTCTAATTTTATTACGTAAGCTGAGTCATAGAGTCAAAAGCTAGGATTTTATGTTGTAAATAATAATTGCGAGCAAAAAAATCCTAACTTTTGGCTCTACCAGCTTGTGTAATAAAATTATAATTAATGTATTAATTCAAAGAGCCATATTTATAAAATAAATTTATGATTTTATATTTTTATTCATTTAAATAATTGTAATTTGTAATTAATAAATAAGTGCAACAAAATACATCTTCACGTGCGAAATAAATATATTACATAAATACAAGCGTGTAATAGCATAATGCGTCAAGCAATGTCATAAAAGTACCTGAAAGAACACATTGAGATAATAATGCAAAGATAATCAATTTGTAATAGCAGAGTTTAAAATGTGTCTTACACAAGCAACATTTATAATATTGTATCTATACACAGAACATTGCAAGCCAATTATTACTACTAATTGTAAGCTCATATACTTACAGTTGCTCCGTGATCTTTCAAAATTCTCGTAAATAAAATTATTCTGCATTTATACATCTAATTTATCCCTTCAACGTTAATCAATTTCACGTACAATAATTATTGTTTTTTCATTCGACTTGTAAGTATGATTTAAAAAGATTTGCAGCACACCGCATAAAAGTGCGTTGAAACTCGCGTATATAAAAATTTGGTTGCAGCAGTAAACAGCTGTAAAGATTGAATCGACTGCACAACTTAAACATTAATTGCGGGTAGCCGGCCGTGAAAAGAATTCGCTCTCTGACTTCAGGGATGATGCATAGTTTATCTCGTGAAGATTGCAGCGGGCGTAGACGTCTTTTTCGATGATGTGAATGTAAATCACGAACACAACACGACATGTGATTCATAATTCAATAATTTATTCCTACTATACAACGTTTATCGGCAGAGTTGCCGATGTTCGTTACGTTTCTCGAGTCGTTCTTGATGTTATGTAGAACGATAAACAAGTTTCGCGTAATTAACGTTTCTTACAAGGATCGTAATACAATTTCGTTTGACGAGTATATAGTATAGTATAAGCGCGTATCGTTGAGAATTGTTAGATTAATCGTAAAACAGTTTTTGGTCTCGTAGTAATATGATTCCTACCGACTCTCTACTTTTCATACCGTTTATATTATTTCCTAGTACAATCAGACGTGTATTATAATAACCCACTATATGAGATTACATATCTAAACGGAAAAGTAATTGGCCAATCAATTAAAATTGATGTTATTCACAACAAATGTGGTTGATGTCGTAGAGTCCGGCTTGTATAAACTGTAGATTAAAAATTAGATATACAAGGTGTTCCAGAAATCTTAATCTTAATTTATACTCCTTAAAAATATGAAATTATTTTTTCCTTAGAAGAAATGTTTCAATATTTGATTTTAAGTATGTACGTATGTGTGTGTGTGTGTTGATTAAACTTGGAATGAAAATTCTGAGGCAATAAAAAAATTCTTTACCTAAACGAAATGGATTGGAAACGTTACTGTCGCCTTGACATTGTAATCCGAAGATAAATTCCTGATCGATAACACAATCTACCGTTAAAATTAAGATAAGGAATAATTCTAGGACACCATGTATTAAGCGCTTATCAAAAAATAAACCATTCAAACGTAATCGTACCATTATCCACGCAAAGAATGGAAGAAATGCGTGATATAAACATTGCGAGGAAAGTAGAATTATAACAATCTTCTCTCTACTTAACTGAATAATTAAACTTTCGTGGAACGTTAAGATTTTCGGAGCGCTGCTCGAAAATCGAGATGACACTTAACAGTCCGACATAAGTATTATAATATGTACGAAAGATTTATATATAACAATGCGCGTGTGTGTATATATAATTTTTTATAAAATAAATAAATACTTCTCTAAATATCGATATATGCGAACGTACGACTTTTCCTATCGTGACTCTATATGATGGTCACCAAATACTTTCAATTAAACTGTGTCGCTGTCGTACACTTAAGGATACTAGAGCACCATATACCATGTATCGTCTACGCTAATCGAATATGTTTCAGGAATAATGACGTATGCACCATCGATATTCGCGCATCGATTAACGCCGTAAAAAGTCATATAGAAAGCCGACCTACGGCAAAAGTTGCTCAGTATATAAGAACTAATGTGTTATTATTACTCTAGGCATACATTTTAGAAATAAATCTTCAAATAGTTTAAACGATTAAACGATAGACTGGCTGAAGTTCTTCATTGCCGGAGTCTCAAAGTTGAATTTTTCCATCTACTTCTACGTACACGATTCGCAAGCAATGTAAAAAATATTCATTAAATATTAATTAAAAATTAAAAAATTATTCTTATAAAGTTTAAAGATTAAAATATATTTTTCAAGAAATATCCCATCAAATTCTCCTTCTATTTTCAAAAGAATGAATTTTTCTGCCTGGATCTTAATTGATCTACCTTTCGCAAGATAATAAAGTTAAGATTATCAGTAAAAATCATCGATAGAGTGATACAAATTGTATTATATACTATCGTTGACTCTGCATTGCTAATAACTGCAGTGTTAAATCATAACACATTTATAGAATGAGATCAAACTCGATTGAATTCTTAAAGATTATCAACATCTCTTTCCGAGTCTCTTTTATAATCCGAAAAGTGCATTTCAACACGGCTGCAATTCTACTACGATCTATCTGCCCTGCAGAATAAGCGAAACAAGATAACAAAATCTGAGCTATTAAAAAAATTCTCCTAAATACAACGTTTTTGAACATATCGTGCATATTTTACGCAGAAATAATTGCAATTATTGCAGGATATGAGCAAAAGTAATTGTCAAAGTAATAAAGTAAAAGATAAAATTAATTACAATTAAAATGTACATCCGAGAAAAAATTATATAATTGGCCAGATATAAATCTATATAATTGGTTATGAAAAGATCTAATAACATAATGTATGTAATTTTATATGATCATATAAAACATTAAATGTTATCAGATCTTTTCATAACTAATTATATATATTTACATCCGTATTATATCATTTTTTCCCGGACATTAATCATAAAATAATGCTTCCTATTCACCGATCACCAAATTATTAATACGATCAATTATAAGAACGATCGATCCATTATGCTAAGCGCAAAACGAATCAAAGCGTCGATTCGTCGATTAAAAATAAATATGTTACAATTAATGGAAATAAATATATCGTCATATTATCTAGAATGCTGTAAGTGCCGGCTGTGAAAATAATTTTTTTCTCCCAGTTAGGCCAACTTCGCGACAAAACATGACGTTATTTCGATCTTCCGCGATCTAACGAATCGCGAAAGACTTCACATGGACAAACATAAACATCTAAGCGCACATCTATCCAGCGCTAACAACTAAAAGACGAGGCATTAAAAGAAGTATTCGTCGCTCTTCGCTGCAAAAGAAGTAAACCGCGTTCTATACTAGGCACGTTTGCATAACTGATCGCAAGCTCAACAAAATATCCGCAAGCTCTAACTAACACATCGCACTTTCTTCTCTTCTCTTCTCTCACTAAACAAGATCCGTGTACAGTGTTCACGTAGAACGTGTTCTCGATGTTGGAAAAGAAAACATGGCGAAGATGCGGAATTCATTGAGAAACGATCCCAAAACGGTAAAGCAGTTTACCGTTTTGGAGTTAGAAAAGTGGTTCCTGAAGGTCTTTAGGACTCGTCCGGCTGGAGAAGGCTTACACTGACGCACGTGTCCGGACGAGATCCGATTTGATGCTGCCTCGTGAGTTTCGAGGAACCTCCCAGCTCCTCGGAGACAATTACAGAAGACAGTCACGGCCTTGTTGCGGTCAGCAAGCGAAGAGCGAGCTCATTAGGTCAACAGTTGCGATTAGCAGTGCCATTATTCACCTGTGTGCCGCCGACGCCGGTTTCCGTTTCGTAGTCGACAGGTCGGTGCTTTTCCGCGGAGCGGTGCTTTTCTTCCTCGAAGAGATCCGCCACACAGTGTGACTGGAAAAACACGACACGTCAATCGCTCGCACACTGATCGACACGACATTACGATTGATTATATCTGATCTCCTAATTCTGAAATCGTAATACTGTAAAATAAAAATTTTACAATTACAACGACGTCATAGCGAGATTCGATAAATGTGCGTAATTCGTGTGCATTGCAACATTTCTTGTCCAGAATTAAAGTATATTTTCTTCGACGTCAAAATATTATTAAGTCAAACTGCGGTCGGTTAAAAAGAAAGAAAAAAGAGAGAGAATTTCGCGGAGTATTTTAACACTCGAATACTTAAACTGTACAATTCTTAAAATTATTTGTGCAAAACTGGCACTGATATGACGCTCACCATCACTAAAGCAACGATCGTGCCGAGGGTAGCTCCAGCGAGCACATCGCTCCAGTGATGCTTGTAATTGGAAATGCGTGTCATCGCGGTAAACCAGGCCATAAGCAGACACAGCAGTTGAAAGAAGTGTTTGAGAAGTTTACTGCCTTTCCACCTCATCCTCAGCTGAAGATACATCTAAAAGAATCCCGGACATTGCACATTTCTCAACAATCCTTTCCTCTTCATTTACAAAAGCTTGATCTATAATTATCAAAATACTTTTAGAAATAAGAAAAACGTAAGACGTAACGTCAGCTGAAGCTTTGATTAAAGAAGAGAAGTGATTTGTATCAATTGTAATTCATTTGCAAATGGAAAGCGACATTAATAATAAACTGATATAAGTCATAAATGTTAGAAGAATAAAAAAAAAAAAAAAAATACAGCCTGCATTGATTTGCTTAATATAATGTAAATTGATAACAGCATAAAATCAACTCAATTTTCTCATTTATAACTCGGGCAAAAATCTTTCATCAAATCGCTGATTCAAATCTCGTCGATTGAATTTCAGTGACAAACGCGAATTGGATTTGTGGCATCGAGCGTATTAAATTTCGCGTATTCAATTATGCAAATCGGCTTCGAAGCGGCGTGAAGATCGCGGGACGATCTCGTCCCGCGATCACCGACACGCTCGCATTAGATCCGCGACGAATGATCGACGACGCCCAGCCGCGCGCATACGAATCCACGCAATTGCGCGACGCGCAACTCAAAAGCGACTACTTACCGCAAGGTAGATCATGGTGTAGGCCGAGAAGGACGAGTGACCGGAGGGAAACGATAATCTGAAATGATTGATCATGCTGTGTCAAGTAAATCCCATTTATCGATCGGGGCATGCGAGAAGTGACGGCGGCGGGGGGACGGCGGGCGAGGGATCGTCGTGTACGTACGCGCGTAATGGCTCGCTATTAATTTTATCGCGATTAATTCCGGGGCGTGCGTTGCGCGCCGATTACGATCGTCGAAGGGCTCCGCGGCGCAACCGCGAGCGGACAGTACGAAGAGGAGAGGCGGCGGACGATCCCGCGAGCAAAAAACGCAGGAGATTCGATACTTAATGCCTTCCCCCCCGCCCTTCCCCCCTCCCTCCTCCGCTCCCGAGAGACGCGCTCGTGAAAAAATTCGGTGGGCGCGCTGCGTTAATCAGGATCTGCGCGGCTCGCCGGTCCGGCGACTGTCGATTTTGATACTGCGACTCGGAATTATCGCAGTCGCGTTTGTCTCAGTTCGCGATCGCCTTTTTCAAACCCGAGACTTGTGTCGATCGCGAAGACGCGTGAAACACGTCCGAACGGAAGAATCGCGGACGAGTACCCCGATATTTTTGCGAAAGGAAGAATTACAGGACAGTCCCTCAACATGAAAGATCAAGTTCGGAGATGCTTGTAAAGATAAGACAATTGACGAACAGAGGCGGCCGCTGCTCTTTTGAAGTGCACATCTGCGCACTTACGCTGTCTCAAGGATCTCATAGACGACGTTGGTAAATGACGGAGGGGGAGGAGTCAATGAAAGGGCCGCGGTGATCCTGCTCGCCCTTCGTTTATTCCCCCTTGCGCTGCGCTCCTTCTCTTTTTGTCCGCCCGACGCGGTCCTTTCGGCCAACTACCGTGCGCGGGGGTGGACGACCGGAGGGCGCTCGGGCCATGAATGAATTCTCTGTACGGTGCGCGTCTATCGTCTCGATTCCTCAAATCTCTCTAGTATACACGAAACTGTCCCCGCTGCCGCGCCGCAGGCGAAGGGCGGATGACCGGCGGCCGAGTCGCGGTACGCAGCGCCGAAAGATCGCCGGCCTCGTTATTATAACACACAGATACCGTGCCCGTTCTTTTTGCTCGCTTTCACACGATAACGCCGCCGCCGACCCGCTTCTCTCTCCGTTCGTTCGCGCAGGCGAGAGCGCGAGCGACGACGAATCAGAAGAAAGACGAACGCGCCGTGACGTAAGCTCGCTGTGGCCGCCGCTGGTCTACGCTCGAACGCGCGGAGTTTCTTGGACTCTGGAACCGAATGCCGAGGGAATCGAGGATGATCTCTCGATATAGCTCTCTCTCTCTCTCTTCGGTCGATCTCGTTTTCGAATCCGGATTAGAAAGCATCGTTTCGGCGTGAATATCTCGACGGTGGCTATACACAGTGAACTTGAATGCGTTCACATTGAGCAGCTATTAAAAGGGATCGAAGGAGCGGTCAATATAGAGCGCAGCTATACACTCGTTCACTCTGCTTCTCTTGAGAACTTGAGAAAATTAGTTCCGATTAGTTCTAGAAACTCAGAAGGCGTAACAATATCGTTTCGTCAGCTCCGAGTGTGGTTGAATTAGAAATAAATATTAGTGTAAAATGCAAAATGTAAAATGCTGTTAAACTTTTCTCTTCTCATTGAACGAAATTTTACCGACACGATATGTGTTGCTTCTGCCTTTGAGAGTCGAACACTTCTTATTTTACAGAATTATTGCAAGAAATTAATTTGCATGGAACTAAGTTCGTTCAATGTAAACGTGTTTGACTCACGCCTTCTTAATGCAAACATCGATTTCAACTAGTCTTATTGTTCTTCTTTTCTCCAAGACATTCAGCATTCAAGCGTGGTGCGTAAAACCAGCTCGGCAGGTGCTTGCTTCTATCACGTTTTCCCTAACGTCTAAAAGATAATGATGTACGCTTTAGAACGGAGAGTTATTTCGAGTAATAAGCCGTGCGTAACTCTTCGCGCTTCTCTTTTCGAGTCGCACGCGCGCGTCCTATGCTTTATTCCTTGTGAAGCCCATTTATCTTCTACCTTTCTCTTGCACTTTGCTTTTGTGACAAGCGTTCTGCAGTTTACCAGTAAATGGAAGACAAAGTTGCAGAAGAAAGGAGGGAGGGAAGAGTAACCGAGACCCTACTTTTCAGAATCTCCGCTTTCGTCTCTAATATTGTGACCCGGCAAGGCACTAAAATTAGTTACGGCATTGTGAATCAAATACGTTCGTTACGTAGATATCGCGCGTTTCCGACCGTTATTTCCAAAGGAATTCACAATAGTAGATTCACAAATTGTAACAATTTTTTGGAAGCCATAAACCGTGATATGAAACTGTATGACTTTAAAAATTGAAATATGATTTACTCCATTGAATTATATCTTAAAAAAGGCACCAGTTAATTAAAAAAAATAATTAACTGCAATAATACATCACAACGGCATCTAATCGACAATTATAACCACATGGAATCTCGATAAAGAATGCAGTCAAAATCGGTGTTCAAAGTGAAAAGGAAACGAGCAGCGAAGCGAAAAGTCTGTCGAATCTCACTGCAAACATGTTTGGGGCAGATCCAGCTGTTAAAAGGCGAGGGATGGAAATCGAACGCGCGAATCTTCTTCGAGCCGATCGTCAAATAGCGACAGTAAACGCGAATAATTCGGGCGTGTAATAGTGTAATTCCGTTGGCGAGGAAGGAGCGGGAGAAGAGAAGAAAGAACAACACGATCCGGCGTAAATCTCGCTCATGCGAATCACCAGCGGAGTTCGGGTAGGTCTGCGCATTGTCATTCGCTACCGTGGCTCTTTTTGTGCGCGCATTCGCATCCGTTAAAACCGGCCCCCGGGGTACGTACGCGTATCCGGGACGCGCAAAAAGGTTTCCGTCGGCAACAAAGCCCGCGCGCGCGCGCAAAATAATCAATTCGGGAAGCGATGCGACTAAGCTTGAACTTCGCCAGAATCAAACAGCAACGACGTCATTCCGGATGCGGGAAAAAGTTTCGACGAGTTTCGAGAAAATTCGGCGAAACAAATTTTCGCTCCAAAATTCTTAAGTGTTGTAATTTCTCTCAATTTGATTATTTTAAAAGTCACGACATAAATGTTCAAAATTGGTTTCCTTGCAACTTCAATGAATAATCTTAAATCTCTTTCCTTTTTTATTTTCAGGTAAAATATTTTGTGATAGCTTATTATTACAAAGATTCTTATAATTTACTTGATCTCGACAGATTTATGTGAAGACAAATTCATTTAATTGCGCATTTCTCCTCGAGAAGAGTCGAGGCTCTTGACGATATTTCTTTTAGGAACTACCGTCCGCTGAAGCAAACAAACGAATACTGTTATAATTAAAAAGGACGCGTATAAATAACTCGATAAGAAGCGCACGGGCAAACGACTGATAATCCAATGAGCATTTAATGAAAGTCAGGCGTCAGCGTGCCGAATCGATTTGAAACGACGAGCGCGACCGTCGCTCTTTTCGCGTTTGCCCTCCTTGATTACTGCAAATTACCGTTTCGTCTCGTGTCCATAAACTTGTCCCGCGCGACGGGACCCGCGGGCCGTTAATGAAGTAAAAATACAATACGATACAAAAGCGAGGGATCCCCCCCTCCCTTCAATCGCGCGCCGTAGGCCGTAATTGCCCGGCGCGCAATTGTTACCGTCACGCGATCTAAACAACTCTCGGGCGCGTGTTGTCGAATACCGCTTCGCCACGCCGCGGGGTATTGCCCTGAAAATCCGCCGGGGCTGGCCGCATCGAGGCCGAGAATAAAGCCGCGAGGAACCCGCGATATGCGCTGACGTGATGTAACCCCGGTTGTATAGCATCGTCCAGCTGCGCGGTCAAACTTTATTGATTCGTTATACGAGCGAGTCCACGTCACGACTCACGCGCGTCGTCGCCGCGTGAAACAGGAGCGAGTCTGAGACGAATTGCGAGAGGAAGAGAAGCTTGACGATCACGCGATCGATTCTTGAAATCGCGAGAATTTTGACTCGCGTGTTTGATATCTTAATTGCGCTCGAAATATCCGCATGTGCGTTTCAACTTCTCCTCGCGTATTTATTCATATTTATACGCGACAGGACGAACGTATCTCGAAATCCGCGGGATTTCGATCGAGAGGCCAGATAACGTTCGCGTTACGGCTAGGATTAAGATGCTATCTACATTTGCACGTTAATGAGAGACTCGGGAATGCGAGTCGCGCATCGGGTAGGCTTCTCACCTGACATCTTTGAGCAATTTGTCGGAAATCTCCGGCGCGGTGCATTCGAAATGCTCGATGTATCTGTGACGATTTTCGATCAGACTGCAATTGACGTTGGGCACGCAGAGACTCATGAAGTGCGGTCGCAGGCGACCTATGGTGTACTTCGCGATGTCCGTAGTTAAAACGGTGCAAGCCGCGCCGAAACCGAATACACCAATCTGCGAACATTGTTAACAAAAATGGAGATTAACGAAGCGTTAATCGACTTCGTGTGGCTAAAAGTTGAAAAAAAATGAGAATACGAATAGAGAAATTTTAATTTATTGCAACAAGTAGATAAATAAACCTGCAAAGTCGACAAAACGTACCTTTTCGTAGGCGTTCCACAGCCACGGAGGTATGGTGTATCCGAAAAGCACCTTCGCCGTATGTTCAGGAAAATGCCGCGCGTGCAGAAACTCTCCTACGATCATCTGGAGGATGAAAAAGGATCAAATCAGAATCGCTGTTCAATATAAAATTCTCTTCCGCGACTAACAGCGCCATTAACAATGAGAATATCGTTAAATTTCTCACGCACGCACAGCCGGTTATAATCTACGATATTAAAAAATGACCATTTGAAGTTTTGTCTGAAAAGCACCGACTTCAACTTGAAAGAATTGCTGCCCGGGTGTGTCCGACGCGTCCGGGACAGTTCGTGTGATTACACATCCGATACGATCTTTCATTTCGAGATCGCCTTACAAGACTTTTCAAGCGGCGAGAAAACTCCGAAGGCCGATCAAACGGGCGTTGCAGCTCTCTTTATCGGGAAGAGATGGGGAAAGAGAGAGAGAGAAGCTCAACCCTCTTTCCACTCGGGCTGTCATACTCTCCCCCGGCCAAAGCGGGTTAACCAGGCCAGATCCCGGATAAAGATCCGCCGGGTTTACGAGACACGCGTGAATGAAATACGACGAGCGGCCGTCCGTTTCTACCTGTCCTACCTGGGGCCTCTCTCTACCCTCCAATTCTCGGGGGAACACGTCTGTCGGGCAATCCGTTTTCCTCGGCGAGTTAGGGAGATAGATAATGAAGAGGCGGCCGGTTCCACGGAGAGATTCTCGCGGGATCTCTCGCCGGAGAGAAGAAGAAGAAGAAGAAGAAAAGACGAGGGGGAGAATGGAAACCTTCTCGGATTGCCGCGCGCGCAGGTACAAGAATGCGCGTACCTGTAAAACGTATAAAACCACCGCGCCCAAGAAACACCGAGAAGGTACGAGAGAGAGGGAGAGAGAGAGAGATACGGCCGGTGAATAGAGACGACCCCGATGCGAAAGAAAAGAATTGACGGCACGAAATAAACCAGCGTGAAAAAGTATCCATTACTCAGCCGAAAACGTCAGAAAAGCGTCAGAAATGCGAGGGGCGTTCGATCTCCTCGCAATTGCTCGCACGCGATCGCAGCAATCTTGATTAGTAATTTTATCCTCGTAACTTAATTTAATCTTAATAATAACAATTAACTTATCTACCGTGCAAAAAGTAATTCAGTACTTTCGCTCGCCGTTGAACGGGAAATACAACGTTGAGATGAGGAATAATGCGAAATAAATCGGAAATCAGTTGCTTAATATTTCGGGTGCTATAATTTGCTCGAACCGCAATCTGCCTTGAAGAATTAAACCGCGCGGTAAATTATTTTCTTAACGCCGAAGCCAATCGGCAACAAATAGATGAGCTTGTGCACAGCTCGCTGCACGGGTAGCCGATGCATAATAGCCGGTTGCCCCTCGACGAAAGGATCAATCACTGTGTAAATATCGTTGGACCGTTCCTTATTCAATGTTGATCCTTGAATAATACGCATTGTTTATTTTAGGCGATAGCGCGAGTGTTTCAATTGGAATGAGTTTAAATACTCGGAGCGTGCATTTGAATGCAAAATTGTGCGCGCACTTCAGCAAAATGTGTTCGAATTTAGTGCGCTTCTGAAAAAGAAAAATTCCACTCAATAATCCCGAGAGCCGTGTGCAAGACGAAAATAATCTTTGTGCTTTAGATTGTATCGTGTGTGCGAGCATAACAAGTTGATAAGAGTTACGCTGGAAAGAGGATTTGTCCCGCAGGGACTCCGCGAAGTTACCGAACAACGTCGCGTGGTAATCCGACGCGCGAAGAAAGGAGCTGCGATTTATCTCGGCTTTGTTCGTAGTAATTTATCACGCGTGCGAGCGCGCGGTTTATCGCGTTAAATTAACAGCGCGACGCGCTCCCTTCCCCGCGATGTAATCGCTTCCCATTTCCTCCCGGCATAAAATACGCCGGCTCGCTTAACGAAGTAAAGACGATTGTAGAATCCGAGAAGGATCCTCTTTCATCTTCTCTGCGCTGCTACGTAAATAAATGCGACTATAACTCGCGGGGGAAAGAGGAACGTTTCGCACACGGCGCGGCGAAATCATTACTCGAATAAACGCCACTTACCGTACATTTTAATTTCTAGCTTTCGCTAAAGTAATTATACCTGCTAGATTTACGACATGCGAGAAAACAGCTTATAAGGGGCGCGATAGCGGAGAATAAAATGTTAATTACGGAGAGACGAGCGAGAGAAACGTACGGCTTCGCGTTATGCGGCCAATCCGAGACTCATCGCATGTGCTTTCACGTCAAATTTGTGAATAACGTTTGTTTCGAAATTGTGGCAACTTTAAAATTGTTTATATTGTAGCAGAGAAAGCAAAAAGAATAGTTAAAATAATATGCAATAATTTTTCTCAAATTAATCTTTGTCTCAAGTGTCAATAATCTTATAATTACTATTTTTATTAACAAAACTTATCTGCTGTGTTAAAATATAATAAAAAATTGAAATTCTAGTGTTGACTGAGAAATTGAAAACGATAAATTACGAATTGGAAATTAAAAATTAAAAAGTTACGAAAGCTAGAAATGAAAAATTAGCTGTTAAAAGTTGAAAAATTGATTCACGCGTTTCAGGTTTTTGTAAGTTAGAAAATAAAAAGTTTTAGAATGGGAGAAAAAGATGGAAGATTGTATAACAAGTCCAAAAGTTACAAAATTACAACTAAAGCGAGCACATTCTTTAGTTTCGAGGCATGCGAAAGTAGTAAGAGAGCTAATATCGGAATGATGGATTGCGAAGATCCAATATTAGAGCAAGGAATTCATAGAGCAGTGAGAACTCAATGCTAGTCGTCGAAGCTGACTGGCACAGATTCCTAAACATTCGAGCAAGATGAAAAAAATACGTAAAATCTAAAATAGGCGCAAACCGCCCATAAAAACGGCCAATCGCTCTCGTAAATCAGGTTGGCGATTATCACGTCGTAAAGAGAAAAAAAAAATATCCCTCGAAAACCGACGAAAAATCACAAACACATTTGTCTTCTTTTAGCGTCCGACCGCCTTGACGTACAATTTTCGAGGATGCGTTAACGAGAGGACGGCATGCGCGGGCATGAACAATCCTCGCCTTCCCCCTTCCGCGGCCTCCGGAGGCCTCGGCAAAAATACTCGGCCCAATCGTACACGTGTACCACTCTCTCTCAGATACCGTAAATCGATTCCCACGACTACCGAAACTTTCAACGAATGCACTCACTTGCCGACCCACATGTGCGGGCGGCGCAGCGCGAGCGATCGTTCCGTATTCTTAGACGCCCACCTCGTTCCCTCCTCTTCGACGAGTGAAAAGGAACCTCAAAAGCGGCACGCGACAGGCCCTTCGAATCGCTCGCGATCAGCATCTGCTACTGATCACTCTGACGTGCGGAGTCTCAAAGGGCCGCGCCGCAGAATCGCGCAAGGATGCGACACAGCAGGTTCGAATTTTCAAGTTCGCCATTCCTAACGCTTTTGCTCTCTCGAGTCTAAAAATATACATCGAATTTTCAACGCTCAGCAGTCACGTTATTGCAGAATGTCATATCATAATCGTATTTTTTTTTTTTTTACTTTAATACCTACAATATTTTTCACACACCAACGAATATATCACGCGAAATTTTAACCCGCTGAACGACGCTCGCATCTCTCGTGGACATTTACACGTCGCGATGGTGAGAAAAAATCGCAACAAGAGAGATCATCGCTATAAACTATCATTAGGTGAGTACGTGATTCGCCACGTGCGCGTAATCTGGCGTGAGTAAACGACAACCGCAAGATTGACTCACCGTGCATATAGGAAGGAAAAGTCCGATGACGTACAGCATCGAACTCGTAACTGTAGAATCGTGAAACGGATGATAGAGTGATTCATCGTTGCAGAAGAAGCCACGCTTGTACGGTTTGCCGAATAGGAAGAACATTAGCACCGAGATCCCCACTGAAAACAGAACAAAACAATCTTGTTATTACGTCACTCGCTCGATATCGCCGCGCAATAATAATATCGTCAACTCGATTGATCTATCGCGATGATTGATTGACCGGGATTAAATATCTGAACTCCAAATTAACATGAAATTTATTGCACTCGTTGCACAATCTCCGGTGACGATAATGTTGTGACTCCGCCAATCAAGATGGTATGCGCGCGTTCGAACGCATTGAACCACACACAATATTCTCGATCCGCGTTCTTTAATCTTTGGCCGGATCGTTTCTGGTTGCGGCGTACATCTGCGTGCAGCGTAACATCTCACAATCGGATCATATGATAGATCTCTATTGTAATTGATCGCTTTCTCTCTTTTACAACTGCGCTTCTTTCAACCGAATTTCAAATAAATGTTATTCATAGCGTTTTCTTAATCCATAAAATCGTACGCTTTAATAATTAAGTAGTGAATAATATTTCCATCGATGTAAAACTATTTTAATATTTGACTCGTAAAATTGGCTTTCAAAGTTTATTCACCGAGTTTTCTTCTTTATTTTTTACGTATTTTTTCTTGAATGCAAAATATTTGCATAATAATCTCGATCTCGTAAACTGTCCTGTCACGATAATTATTTAAAAGTCCGTAAGATGAAAAATGTAATTGAATTTTTAATTCTATGCAGGTGACATGCTCCGCGGTAATCGGATAAAATTACTTTAGTCTACACATCAATTATAATGATTATAACAACCTCGTTACACAGCCTTGTTACGTATAATTTCTGCTATTTACGGATACCGTTTTCATAACTACTCTCTATACGTATCTCTTTTCCACTTCCCGCCAAAGACTTTATCAGTGCCGAGGGTCACGTAGCTAGCTGCTATTAGGGCTCGTTAAAGCGAAAATTGTGCGTGGCGCAATTATCAATCCTGTTTTCTTTCAAACCTTTTTTTCCTTTTCCAGAGTGAAATGCATGCTCGCTTGTCATCGAAGCATTCATTAATGTGCAGCTTTCCGGAAAATCATTCGAGAAATTACAGACTAACCTATCAATTTATTTACGTGAATTACATGGAAATCGAACGCTTACAGTCGATCGTTAAGATAAGTGATGCTGTCTCAGCAAAAACAGAAGTAACACATGTAAGCAGCTAACGACATTCGCGATCACTTACTTATGTAGTCCATTGACTATGTGCTTTGCAAGCCAAATTGTACTTCTGCAAAATTCGATCGCGATTACGATCTAAAAAAATGCCGCATAACAATATCGACTTTTTTTTTTTAAACGGCAGGACTGAACTTGAAATTTTTCATGGATTATTTACTATGTAGAATGCGACACCTTTTCAGCATTCTTGACTCGTAATTTCATTGAAAATTATACAATGGCATTTCAGTTGCCTTGAGAAATAGAAGAAATAACTGCGACTTCCTATTTTGCGAAATGTCGGTGCATTAGATTACTGTTAAAACTTTACTGATAAATTGTACAATGATATTTATAGTCGTTCTGAAAAGGGAACAACAAAACTAACTCGTGAATTCCTGTTTTGCAAAACGCTACGCATTTGCATAATAGCGCTTGGCTTTCTAGCTGGCGTCAGTTCGGTTCCAGGAGTGATAAAACCTTGATTGACAGATTCATCGCTTTCTATCTTTACTGCGAGAATGCTAAAAATAATTTATCCACATTCAGATAATACAAGCTGTTGTCAGAATGTTGTTATAATCATATTTATGTACAGATATAAAAATACGCATATGTGTTTGTCATACGTTTAATCCTGTTATTAATACTAACACGAGTGGTACAATTGGCGACGAGAGAATTTCTCGTAAAAATAAATATGCAATAAAACTCATAATTTCGAGAAAAAGTATAATCTTCCGATGCGGAAATTTAGCAGTAAAAGAATTAAGAAGATTAAAAGGATCAAATTGCGGCTTATATATTTTCGCAATTTGCTGTAGCGAAATATTAACAAGAATTGACAACAATATCAGTATTTGTCTCACGATAAGCACATAGTAATGTAAATAACTGACATGCAAAAATCTTCAAATAATCGCATAATAATAAAAGATATGAAATATTATAGCAAATTTACGATTATCCTATCGAGCGTGATATCTCCATCAGCTTTATCGTATAGAAATAATTCGGCATTTCCACTTTGAGATAAACGGTAAGAAACGGCAAATAGTTGTAGCAATGATGTTTCATTAATTCATAATCACGAATATCACATAATCTCTTCGACTGCGAGGGTCAAGTGTGAAACGAAGCATAAAAGAAATTCACGGCCTATTTATGGCTCATTGCGTCTTACACAGTTGTATTACGCAATAAAAAAAGATAATATTATTATTACGCTGTCAAGCGTGACGTCGCTTGTGAACATGACAGAAAAGGGCCAAGGACCATTTACTCGTCGAGTAATATAAAATAATGAACATTTCCGATTGAGACTTGAAGAAGTTCTAGAGATAATTAAAGAAATCTGATGAAATATATATGTATAAGTATGTACAAATTTTAAGAACGTAAGAAATGTAACGTAGAATGGAAAAAATACAATAATTGTTATAATTTATCGAAAACATATGTATAAATAAATGCATTATGTGTTCGTCGCGTATCAAGTCGTGTATCTGTGTTTACGTCATCGTTTTTATTCGATTATCGAGATCATCGCGAAGATATTTCGCCTTTGATTGTGATATGCTCAGGTGTAATCGCATTTTGATTTTCGAATGAATAAATCGATTATCATAAATAATTTAGCTACTATAGATGATTTCAATTAGTGTAATTAAAACGCTAAAAAAGCTTATAAAAATATTACACATATAAATAGATATTTAATGATTATCAAATGATTTACGATTAATCATTTATTCATAAACACATAATTAGTTGTCATTTATTATTTAATGATATATAATTTAATAGAGATATTTAATAATCAATAGATATTTAATGACAGATAATAGATTTTTAAGAATTAATCATAATGACGCATTTCTATGAATTAATATAATTGTCTTCGAGAAATAAATCTTGATAATAAATATTTCACATTGCGTACTGCTATGCGTGAAAAAAATATATCGCTTTGATCGCGCCGATGTGAAAAATACGAAAACGCCACGTATATAAATATATATATTGGAATGATAAACAGAATATCATAAAAATTGCTTATCGAAATATCGAAGATATCTTAGAAACGCGATAAAGTTTCGTGACATTCCGATTAATCATCATAACGGCCGTCCTTAATTAGGATGTACGCATATCATATACATGAATACAATGAATCCAGACACAGTAAATTACATAATTACTGATAATGCACACGCACTTGCGCATTTTTCACTGTAACGAGTGTAACATGTGATTGCGATATTGCTCTATCGCCGTAACAGATTTAGACCCGCCTTGACACCCATTTGTAGCATAGGCGTTCGCGTTTCGTCATCATTACAAATTTGTACATCGATGTGATGCCGATGACTCAACGGGAAGTCTCGATACTCTTTCTTACTCGCGAATAAAGTATTTCGCCGATTATACTTGAATTCCGTCTCTTGAAATATTGTTTCCGTCGCTCTCGACAGAAGCAAAAAAAAGAAAACATCTGAACAAAATTTCTTATACGAAATCTCATATCGAATTTAGTGTCATGCGTGGAAGCTGCTTAGACTCGACGGCGACGCTAAATTTTCGCAAAATTGAACATTCTTGTATTTGATCGACGAGAAACACTTCCCCGGAACATAAATCTGGTTTTCTCTCCTTCTCCTTCGTATGCAAATGTAAAAGTGCCCGTGGCTACTAACGACGTAATAGAGGTCTGAGAGCTGTTGTGAATCCTTGAAAGGAACATTTTGGCAACGTTAAAATTCCTGCAATCTCGCAGAATACGGCTTTCATTGAATATTTTCGTTTATAAGTTGCCGCATACCGGAATATTCACAAGCGCTTACAGATTTACATGGTAATTTTAAATAATTGTAAAATCGTAAAATAAAAGTTTTAGTTAAAATACGAAAGATACTAAAAAATAATTGTTTCGATAATTCGAAAAAAAATTCCTCCACACGTTGGATTTATTAACTTAACCAATTAGAGTATTTATGAAGAGATCAGCAGATAGAATTTTCAGAAAAATATTACAAAAATTTCAAATGCAATGATATTATAATTATGAAGATAAATAAAAAGGCCATGTATAATTATATTGCAATGTAATATTCAAGAGACAAAAATGCGTTTTAGAGCTCTCATGCAATTATACGCGACTTTTTTGCCGAGGTTTGCGCGATGAAATCACAGAGCATTAAAAAAATCCAATGTGTATGCGAAAATATTCAGTTTTTTCGTCGCGAAAAGAAACTTGTATCATGAAATATTTTCTTATAATAAAAACAACAGTAAAATGCGCATTAGTCATCACGCTAGTCATATTGCTTTACATAAAACGGTATTTCTTTCGTCATCTATATGTTGGTTTCATAAACGTAACAAAAATTATGCGCACTATTGCTTATTCTTATCAAGCCGCATTTAAGTATTATTACTTCAAAAAATAAGATATGAAAATTTGCTTGCAAACTGAACTCTACATGTTCGCTTGCGTCGCGAAGAAACGATGTTTCTACTCGAATAGTTCGAACTTGTACAATCCGCACGTGATATATTTAATCCAATATGTATGAGATTTACAAGTGCTTCTGTTTTGCTGTTTAAGTATAAGAAAAATACTATAATATACTATAAAATACGTATAAGAAAAAAGGATATCCGCAATGCATTTTTAATCGCGCAAAGAACTCAACGCCATTTATCTTTAACGAGTATGTCGCACGTATTAATTTACGATGTTAAGTAACGCACTTTCAACGGTCCGCTCTTGCGAACTTAATTGCTCGAGCCGTCGCCATTATCATCTCTGTCATTATGCAAAAGCTGGTAAAAACGGCGACGACGAAATAATCGTTAACCAAAAACTGACACCGAGAAGCCGCCTTCTCAAGGCGTCTCTCTCTCTCTGCTACCGGTTAGAGTAGACTTATTCCAGCGCTACACGCGCTATATATCACGCGGACAATCAGCCGGCATAAATCAGCCCGCGAACAAAATTGCATATAAGAAGAGCGGGACTGCGAAATACAAACACTATAAATTTTCGGCCGATCAATAAACAAAGAAAAGGAGGGAGAAACGCCGTGCGTGCGCGATTATCCCGAAAAAAGATTATTAATTCCTCGCGCGAGCGCGCGCGGCCAGTAGATAATTGAAACGATATCGCAGGGAGAAAGGGTGGATCCGAGAGGCAGGGGGGATCTAATTTAATAGACCAATGTATATTCATCACGAGGCGCGAGCGCGATTCTCGGACTCGGCGTTCCTAATCGGCACTTATCTTCATGAATGGGCTCGGCGAACATACTCGTCTCACGAGGCGGGCGAGTGCGCAGGTTCGGGCCTTTTCACAGCCTCTTCTCCTTTCGACCGGTCGGACCTGCTGCTCTTAACGAACTCTGAAAGGGCCCGATTATTGAGTCGGCAGCGACGAGAAATGGCCGCGTTTCGCGCAACACATTCCGCCCGGCGCAACGAAATAACGATCGGCCCGAATTGATTCTAAGCGGACCGGCCGTCGCCGCAAGTCCCGTTGCACATTGCCGTTCCCTTTTCCACCTGCTACCGTAAAAAAGAAAAATGTATCAATCGAGATGACCTCAGCCCGAGGTCTTTTCGCAGCGAACCCAGTGAGATCGCTTACCGCACGTTTATTTTTACCCGCGCGTAAACGTGAGAAACATTTCAACGTCGTGAGTGTCGCGTGATTTTTCCACGAAAACGGGAGCGACGGCTTAATCGGATCGCGTAACTCGACTCGTGTAATCTCGCAGTTCTGAATAACGTTATGCGACAATCAAAAATTCATTTCGTGATGACGGAAAAGGGCGGCGACTTAATGGATAAGTGGGACAAAGTGGATGTCCTTACGTGTTAATAAAAGTGCTATAACAGGCTGTTAAAACATGTGTTTTTGAAACGCGAGTTATATAAGCAGAAACGTAAAAGACCTTCTCATCACACTTGATAATACTTAACAATCTGCATCGGCATGTTTCCTCACAACGAAATTGAATAAGAACCAAGAAAATATGAGCGTGTTTCAAACACGAGCTTATTCTAAAAGGTGTTATTATTTGCACGATAAATATCGGGTGTACGATATTAAGAATCATCAATCATCAAAATTATAAGATACCGAAAAGATCGCGATAATGACAAAATTGATATTGGTTCTTTCTTCGTACAAGAAGATTTAAAAAGATCATTGAAACGATTAAAAGTTTTATCTTTCTGTCGTAATGAATTCAAATTAATTGTCTCATTAAATATTATTAAATTCGAGGCAAGAAAACTCACGCATTTGAGAAAAAAGAGTTATCGATTTTTAAATCTTAGTCTACATTATATATTTTTGCATAATAATACTTTTCTGTTTTTCACTTTCGTGTTTTCATCTCCATATTGAAAAAGCTGTACGCTAATTGTGCTGCATTTTAACATTTTAGCATTTTGTGCAATATTTTCACTTACTTCAAGACGCCACAAATAGAAGTACAATAACACGCATCGCTACAAGTCTGCAGTGTTTCATATTTTAACAGGAAAGTCAAAAGTTGACGCAACCATTTCGCGAGATAAAGGCGCCGTACGGTCGCTCCTTATCGCAGAAATTGTGTCACGTTGGTGCCGCGAGACGAAATCGATCGAGCTGCACCGATCCTATTACAACGTGTGTTTTTCGCCCGCGAAATGTGTTTCCGCGAAGCGCATCGTAGCGCATAGTGCGTTAACCGCCAGTCATACTGTTATTGTAATGAGCGTGGCTGATAACGACATAGAAAAGATGAAGTGATATCGTGCATTTTTACATGATTACGCTGGCTCTAATACTAGCTTATTAATGACGTATCTTTTGCATTACCTAAACGTTTTATCTGCACTATTTGCAATTATTAATGATATCATTGATCCACGTGTGATGTAAACTTTATATTGTGAATCAACGGCCTGATCGAATAGAATGAAATAAAAATATTTGCGAGTAAAAATAGAAAAAATTTTGGTACAAATATCGAGCTCGAATGTGTGCAAAATATATTTTATTAGTATTCATAGAAATTCGCAAAAAAAGCTTAAACATTATTTTTATTCCGCATTCATTTGCATTTGTTAAGCATAAACATGTTTTGTTCTTATTTCCTCGTGTCGCCTACAGATTGAAAATTTACATAAATGAAGACGCTTCCTAAAGTTCTTCGAAAACCTGTGTAAATCTATATTTCAAGTTATTAATATATCCTTCGTGATTTTACTTCTGAAAATTTATCTACGTTTTGAATATTTTATTCAAAGAGACACTGTTTCAATGACTGTATATATTGAAAATATATTATCTGTAAAAAAAGAATTTAAAAAATCTATGAAATGCAGATGACAACTACAGCAACTATTTTGATAATTTTCTCCTTTAAAAGGAAAAGCTTTGAGCGATATCGAACAAGGAAAGATTAAACAAGCCATTAGAGCCTTTACAGTGTAAATTAAGCAGGAGAGCTCCATTAAAGCCTAAGTGCTGCTACATTCCCAAGCAGCTAAGGGTTAAAATTCCGCGTACTTTCGAAGCGGCGTAACGCGCGCTCTCTCTTTTAGCCAGCATCTCGCGGATGTTCGTCTAGGCAATTCGCGGAAACCGTAGCGCGCAATAACAACACGGCGTCGAGAGAGCGAGAGAGAGAGAGAGAGAAGGAGCAGTGCTTTCTCGCGGACAAAACGCACCTGCCAATTTATCCCCCGTCGTCGCGCGCCAACAATCAGACATCAAACGTAGCCGCGCGCGCGCGCGCGCGCATTTCGACGCCTCGAACTGTCAATCTAGGCGACCACCCGACGCGTAACGTGTTCACCGTCTGGAACAAATTCAACGACGGTCCCACGGTTCGCGATAAAGTTTTATGATTTCACTTACCGATGAATAGGCAGAGAAAGTCTATGATGAGCTTCCGTAGAATCAGCTTGGATGATCGATCCATGCTTGCCGCGCTTGCTTATCACGACGTGAACAAGTAGGAGCGATGACGTTAGTCCGCTGTGACGCTTAGGTGCCGGTGGTGGTCGACGACTTGATTTGGCGGCTCGGCGGTAGGTGCATCCGCGCGTGAAGACAACGAGAAGCGGACAGTCGCGAAGGCGTCGCGTCGTTGACGTTTCATACGCGTGGAAGCGCGCAGTGCAGAGCACGACGCATGCCGCGCGACGTTTCAGAGCGGACTGACCGAGCGACGCAGCGCGGTGCCCACCGTTCCGGCTGTCTTGTCCCCTTCCCTCTTTCCCCCTCCTAACCTCCTTTCCGCCCTCGCGTTTCCTCAGCACAATCGCGCCAACTCGCCGAGCCGCAAACCACCCCGATCGAGATCCGGCCGACAACTGACCGCGCTCGATAGAAAACACGCGCTATACATGCTCGTTACGCACGTGCTTCGAATGATGGCTTGCGAATAATGGCACGTAAACATGAAAATGGAGCGCGCCGATGAGATACCAACCGCTGAGGAGAAACGCGACCAGAAATGCGCGTCGCACACTGCGACGAATTGGCGGCGAGTTTCCTGCGATTTTATTTGAAACCGGCTTCGTTAAATGGAATGTGAATTGTTCGTTATTAATCATTGGTCACAATCGTGACTCGATATAGCGCCATACAATTAGGAATAAAAACAGCGAAATACATTGAGCGCAACACGAATGAATGAATCGCGTGCTACGAGGAAATGTCAACCTTCTGAAATGTTGGTTACCGAGTTAATTGAATTATTACGTTAAATGTGTTTATTATTAGTTTCCTAAATTATTTCTCGAACATAAACAGCTGAAATGACGCATGCTGTTTGTTTTGTCTCGCTTTGGGATTATCGAATTATTTTTGTGATCACAATCGCACTGTATTTTTATAGCACGTGACTTTATTGGTATCTAAAAACCATTTGCGCGAAAGTGTTTAAATGCAAAATGCATAAGTAGCGTAATTCCTTATCGTTTTTCCGTACCGAAAGAAGATTGTTAACCTAGTTTTTCATATGCACCTAATAATTGCCCTACAGCGAGGATTTTTCAGAGCGAGGATAGATAAGATTAAAATGTAATAGCAAATATTTTCCGTGCAAACAAAGGTGGCTTTACGTAGTCCATTAGGCTACCTCCACCTGTATCCTGACGAATATTTGTGGGGAAAATACATTAGGCTCTCGGCAATCATTGGCATACGCTCGTAAAGCATCGCAATAGATCCGTCAAATTAAAATGTGAGGATAGCGCAATCCGAGACTTCAAATATATACAGTGACATCGCGTCATGATGTCAAGAAACTATATAAATTTTTTTGAAACATGATGATTTTATCTCCACAAACCGTTGATAAGATACGTATATTGTGTACGAGAGTTGATTAAAGTTTAAAAAAATTCCGTTTATGCAAAACTATAAAATTAAGCAAAAAACAAACAGATGAATGTTTCTTAGAAAGTAAGACAGTCGCCTCAAAAACGGCCTAAATCATCATAAAAATTTACAAAATAATAGCTTTTGCCAAAACAAGTTTGTCTTATTCCATATACAAAGATTATTGAGTATAAACCAAGTTAACAATTTTTTTTTTATGTAAAAAATGATAAGAGATCATACTATGCATCTTTCACTGAAATACTATCTCGTGTAAATGGTTCTCATGTTCAAAAATTAAAAAAATATTAAGCTAACGTATTCACTCTCTACATTTTTATAGAAGGCGGTGAAATCAAGAACGGCGATCTAAGTTTCCAATAGCTAGATAGGTGTGGCACTTGTTTAGATCTACACGTGGCACACACGGTGCTTCTGATCGACTTAGTCACACGATGTGCAACACCTTTTCGTCGTGCGCTTTTAAATCTAAATGATTCTAATTTGAAAATTAATTAAAATTGCTTTGTTTGCTCCGCAAATGTGTATGTGAACGTCACTCAAATTGATTAAAAGTAAATTGTTATGCAAATATATAACAAAGCGTATTATTAAAAGCAAATGATCGATTGCAATGCATTCATTGCACAATGCGGCTTAAATAATATAGCGATCGTGCAGCAGGATAAGAATTGCATCGAGATGCCGTAGACTCGTTAATGAAATTAATATCTCGGTCTCGAAGTACCTGCCTTATGTAACACGAGCCGCGTGTCTGGGACATATCGCGAAAATAGCATGAAGTAACGTCACGCGTTCGCGATCGCTGGTAGCGCGATTCTGTGCCACGGAGAAGCACCGATAAAATCGTTCTACACATCGATTTCGCACGAGGGGCCGCACAAAAGCTCTTATCGCGATGTTTCAACTTCGCGTACCACCCGCGGTGCATTCCGGATGCACCGATGCACCCGTATCGCATTCACGCTTGAATAAAACACTGCAACCAAGCACGGACATTAACAAGCTGCGCAAGTTTTCATATTTAACACCGACACACGCGACAGAAGGAAAAATCGAAAAAGAGAAGAAAAATATCTTCCATCAATTTAGTAATAAGTGAATATATTGACAATAATTTCTAAAAATGCGATTGGAATAAAGACAATGAGAAGAATTACGAGATTACGAGATTTCTCATATTTACACAGGATCGTGACCGTATTGTATTTGTTTCTACGAGGCGATTAATACATAATTACACAAATTTACAGTAGCGCACAGTGCGAAATCGCAATACTCGCCTCTCTCCACGACTTACCATCTAAATGCCTGCCGATTGTTATTGCTAGCTAATCTAATAGCAGCGCGATCGTTGTTGCATACGTATAATCGTACATAATTATATATTATACACTGTACAATATATAATACGTTGTCAAGTTGTACATGTATAATATATACATGTAGACAGGACCGGTGCCAGACTGTTTACGCCTTAGGCAAAACTAACTATTCACCCCCCTCGTCTAAAAAAATTGCCAACTTTCCTGATGGTGATTGCTGCGCCTCTTTGAGCTTTGCTCTTGGAGCCCTTGAGCCCTAGGCGGTTGCCTGTTCGGTGCCTAATGGCAGCACCGGTCCCGCATGTAGGAATTATTACGGAATTATTCAGGATTCAATTCAGAATTCGCAATTTTCAATTTTTATCAGAAAAAAATATATCCCCAGACTATTATCAATTTTCTTTGAATCTGCCAATTGTCTCGGATATAATTCGAACATCCATGATAAAACAATCACTGAAAAGCGAAATGATTCGAATCGGAACAGTTCCATGATAAATCTCTGGAAGTCAGGAGTCTAGACTTACCGATATCCCCCCCTTTTTTTTTGTCGACCGCAGTTTAATCTCAATGCGTTTTTTTCCCTTTTTTCTTTTTTGATCTCGTTATTTAAATTTGTATTAACTCATTTTGTGACCAATGTGCAAGTTAAATAAATGTAAAGCGCGACTAAATTTTAGGAGAAGAGAAGAGTCAGTATGGACCGCCTATTTAAATATTGCCACGCTTTAAAAAAATAAATATAGAAAAATTCTATTTTTAATGTTGACCGCAGTGCAATCCATCACTAATAGCGCCAAATTTGAATCGTTAGTTAATACTTTTTCTTAAAATGGATATTTGTTTTCTGTGGCAAATATCTACGAAACAATATTTCAAATATCCAATTTCACAAATAAAGTGTAATTTATTTTCTGTTATCCGTTTTTTTTTTTCTTCGAATGCAATGAGAAGTAACAGAGAATTAGAGCGGTTTGTCGAACAAAACAGAATGAACAAATCGCTTTGATAACAGAAAAAAAAACGCACGAGTTTCAGAATCGTCGGTCGATGATGACACTTAAGTACATCTGGCACTATGTTTGCACCTACATATCTATTTGCAATCAATGAAACTCTAAAACTGGGACCACAAGCAAACTGAACCTCAAAAGGAGCTACCCGAATCCGCGAATCGAAACAAAATATGAATTGCGAGAATGTTGACGATACAAAGATCGACAGAAAATCAAACACACATTCTCCAACACGAGGCTCATTTCGACAATGTGGCTCCAGCTTCGCAGCACCATCCATCAATGCCCGTCACTTCATCGCCTAGACTGCGTGTCAATAACAAAACTATCGTATAATATAAAGAGATAAAGCTATTTGCACCTTTCACGTCTTTCCCTTAGCGCACATTTACTGCTATGTGTCTACGTATTTACAATATGTTTATTATTACAATAATATAACCGTTTCTCGATTCTGTTAACATTAACGTGCTCTACTTCGTACTTTTAACTTAATAGTAACTTGTTCTACATTTGTTACATGTCTTAATGAAGCTACATTGCTCTCTATCGCCGCAAATATCGGCGGATTGTGCACTCGGCGCATAAATAGCAGCGACATCGATCGCTAGCTTTAACGGAACAAATCTCAATAAATTAATTATATAACAGAATAAGTGATCGTGCTGTTTATAATCCGTCGTCAATTATTATTCGACAATACAATTACATAATTATGATCGCAAATGCAATTGCCAACGTATTATGCTATAATTTTCCCAGATATGTGATACCACGGAACGCAGATACTTTACATAATTCTTAACAGATACAAATGTGAGACAATCAGACTATTTTAGCTGACAGCTGTGAGATGTGAACATTTAAACTAATAATATGACACTTCGTTGTAACTGCAATGCGAATAAAACTCGTAAATTCTTGTCAAACATACTTATGCAATAATTAATCAGAGGTTGCACATACTATTACGTATTTCAAAATGTTCAGGCTTCTTCATATATATACAATATATATGTGGAAAGCTTCGGTAAACTGTATCTGTATCTGTATTGATACGCAAGTATTGCACATACGTGCTATATATCTAATATTGCAATTGAAAATTAACGCATAAAAATATAACAATTATGCTTAATATCGAGTTCAATTATTCATCAAATTATACTTATTTATACAAAATTTGTACATCAATAACAGTTAAAATTGTCGAAAAAGATCCTACATTAATTTATCGGTCAGAAAATACGGTGATAGAAAAAATAACAAGAAGAAAGAACAATGGCTAAAATTATATCGAGAAATAATAGTGAAACGTAATCTCTAGTGTCAACTTGCCTTCCACGTAGCTTATAAAATGCGTATAATGCGAATCGTATTTACACAGCCACGTATTTATCGATTCGGTAATTAAAATATATTTCCGTTACATAAAAAGCTGTATGAAACACAGCTCGCGGATCCTGAAGCAGATATTGCATGGCACAATAATCAAGATTGTTATCATCGTGCGGATAACAAAACATTCGTTAAACATTACTCTCTCAACCACTCTTACGTACACAAACTCGCATTAATCTTTTATCACAATGTACGTACACGTATTGTTATAAATAAGCATCTCCCGGAATACCAAAGTTGCTTCGATTCTATCTTGCGCGTAAAGTTTACAAAAAGATAGTTAATCGTACATTTTGTTCTTTGGTTGCCTTCAGACACTTTGGTTAATCCATTCAATGGGGCTCAATTTTATCACAAAACTACAACTGTCCTTTTTTTTTCCTATTTCTTTTCACACATTAGCAGGCGAGGTCGTCGATTCCCTAGCCAACAACAAAAAAAAAAAGAAAGGAAGATGTGCTGCTTACTAATAGTTACTTTTTAATGGTCAGAAACCATCGTATGGTTCTCTAGCGAAAACACGGGGACTAAAAAAGCCCTGATTTCGACGATAATAGCGCAACGCGCAAGAACGAATGCGAGAGCGTAAAGCACTGCTGTAAATTTACAAAGACCTTACACAAGTTCCATCTCTAGTAGTCATCTGCGTGGCTCATACACCGTAAAAGTACTGTCCACAAAGCCGGCCGCCATGGTCACGCGATGCGGATGAAAGTTCAGACAGCTTACGGGGCTGAGACGCGTGCCCATGAAGCCCTCGTGAAATTTTATCGTGTTGAGATGTTGACCCGTCATATTGTGGACGCTCAGACAGTGATTCGTAGTGCCGCTGCAACAAGAATGTATCCTTTTATTCCGAGGCACTATTCGAGGCCATCATTGTTACAAGAAATTATAGCTGTGTTAGCGGTTACGTTAACGGTTAACGTTCTATAGATTTATCAACAATACTAATGGGATAAATTCAACTTACCAGGCAAAAATATCAGCTACTTCGTGTACCATCAGCGCTGCAATACCTGATGCTATCTGAAGTGTGTTCACAGAGGAATTTTTTCTCAGGTCGAAGATTTTTATGTCGCCCGAGGAAGATCCGGTGAACAATTGCGGCTCGGATTCCCTCAGATACGCGCCCAACACCCAGGCGGTGTGTTCCCTCCAGGTCATAACTCTCGCTTCTGCAGGGGGTAATCTTCGATCCAAGAGCCGGACAGATCCGTCACCACAGCCCAATGCCATTATTGCACCTTGGAAAGGATTTCGAAATCAATATAACATTTATTTTGCGTCATGAAAGGAGACAAGAGAAACTTGTATACAAATGTGGTATCAATAAGATGAAATTTTTTTATACAACCAACCTGTGCCGTCAACGTCGAGACAAGTGGTGCAACAATCGGCGCCCGTTGGTATATCTTGCTTCTTTAATTCGGTCTCCGCGTCCCAGAGTCTCACGATACGAACGTCGCCTGTTACTGCCAAGGTGAGCGATTCTTGTTCCCACTTCGTGACCAGTCGTGCTATTGCTGAAAATAAATAATTCACCATCTTCACAATAATAAGCTATACGGAGATAAAACGTTGAAAATTTTAGAGAAAAGAGTGGAATCTATACACAATTTTTTATCTATCGACTTTAAGGTAGCGCTGATAATAAAGCATGTGAATAACTTTTAGCCAACGCGTTACCTCAAAGTTAACAGACTAGATACATGTCAAGTTCCACCTTTTTCAATACCGATTTCTCATTTTTATGCCGGTGTACTTTATATAAGATTATTGACGCAATATAATATAAAAATTTATAGCTAGAATAATCTAGAACAGCTATAAAGATATAAATTAATTGCCTTGGTGTTCCATACCACTAGATGTTTTGGTTGCGGGTTGCACGTCCGCCAACGCCTGCCAAGCTGTGAGTAAAATAGGATCGCGGCTTATCGAGCCGTTGTAATGCTTCCATATTCGCACGGAACCGTCGTCGGAACCCGCCATTATCAGGCTTAAGTCGTGAGGGTTGATGAATTCGAGTGCCGTGATGCGCGATTTCGCATTGTTTCCGCGACTCGCACAGTAAGACAATTTTGTGCCATTCTGATAATCCCATACTCTAAAAATTTGTTATAAACATTAATCAGAAATCATTTTTTACGTATGTGTATTATGTCCATTATCGTATTTTAGAAATGTTTTCAGCGAGACAATTACCCAAAGCAATCTTTCAACGCAACGGCCAAATGTGGTTCGAACGGATGAAAAACCAGGATCTGAGGCGACTGCGGACATCTTGCGTGATAGATTTGCGATTCTATCTTGCTCTGCGGTGCACGTATTTGTTCTTCCTTTGCATCGTGCCTCTGCTTCGCATTGCGTATAAATCTGTGACGATTATGCGTGACATTTTGTTTAGAAATACGAAAACTTGATAGATTTTTCTTAGAATTGGAAAAATCAGACTGTCTTACCGCCATTCTCGCTCGAGATAAGGTCTGCTTTCAATATCATCTATTTCATCCTCTAAACTAACAGGCTGAGCGAATTGCGCACAACTCCATTCGACGAACTGGGAGATGGTTAGTGGAGTCTTGGCTCCAAGTACTTCGTCTGCCTCTTCGGATATCTGTACAGTTAAAGAAGTATATATTTGTGAGAGAAACTAAATAGTGGACTTTCAAAGTTCGATTTCTTAAAAATGCTCCTTTTTGACTTATTCTCACATACTTATACGTACTAAAATAATTCTTACCGTGTTAGGAACAGGTTTCCTCGTGCGACTGTGCGGCAAACCTCTCGAAGAACGCAGCAAATCCGTTCCAGAATTGACAGCGGGTGGCGATTCTCCTTTGCTGTAGCCAAAAATAATTGGAGGCAAAATGGAGGTTAAACACCTTTCGGCAAAGTATGTTTTGACCAACCTTAAATAACCAGTGCGATTCGATGGTGATGGTGGAAGAGATAACGACGAGGAGATTTTTGTTTCGACTACTTCTTTAGGCGTGGAGGATGCCTTCACCTGAAATTTCTCACGTTTTATACGAGAAAAAATTTTACGCGACGACAATACCGTCGTCCCATTTCTATATTAAATTCTAATACCTTAATGCGAATGTGATTGGTGATTTTTTGAGACATAACACCGACGGCCGGATGAGGATCGTTGTCGAGATTGCACAATCCATGCCATAATTTCATATATACACTACCGTAAGAGAGACTTGGCAGATTTCCGAGAGAATTGTGACCTGTGATAAAAGAGTTTCTCGTCAAATTCGCAAAGTCTGGTTCATCGCGAGGATGTATTTTGAATTGAGAAAAGAAAAAAAAAAAGATATTGCTATTATACAAAGCTTGTGCGATAAGCGTATCTCTATCGATGGCATTGCACAGTCGCAAAAACAAAGGATGTACGAAACTATGTACGAACATGCAATGAAACTTCCAATCATTATTACCAAGTGACTCGCAAGGTTTCCTCACGAACTCCCAATTATTACCTGGCACACGAAAGAATCAAGTGACTGTTCGATTCAGTGATCAGACAGAGAGAATTGATTGGCTTTCGATTTTTTCTACGAACCAACACCCGGTGTCTTACCTAGACTGCTAATGGACGACGAGGACGACACTCTTTTGATACGGTCCTGCGACCCGAATCCATCGATCATATCTACGGTGTATGTATTGTTAGGTGACAGCATCTTCAATCTGTCGCGCGAGCTAATACGCCTCATACCACTGAACGGAGACAGGGTTTCCACGACGAGGTCCTTCCGACTGTTCTCCTCGGCCATAGCTAGCGTCACGAAAGAATTCTCGAAATGCAGCACCATCCATTGAAGAGCTACAACTAATTCCTGCAATAGCGATTTCGTCGCAGTCATTTGTCGACAGATTTTGCTCAATTTCGTGATTTCTGCTACTTACCTTTCTAACCAGCGGGCACATGTCGTGAGAGACGGTATTAATAAGCGTCATAGCGATAATTTGATCGATATTATTTGCGTGCTCGCTCCTGGTCGTTACACTGTTTATGAACGTGCCCAAAGCGTATACGCTAGCTGCCCGAACCTGAAGCAATAAATATTTCTTTAAAATCTATAGATCGATACACACACATAATGTTGATGGAATTATCGTCAATTTTGTAGCGCCTAATCGCAGCTATATTAAATTATATCAAAAGTGCAAAACATGATCTTTTTATCGCATTATACATTGAAATAAATTATAGCGAATTTATTTATATACCGATTAACGTCTATTGTAAATTTTATTCGATAAAAATATAACGTAATGCCATCTTGAAATTCCCAACATATGTTCTAATAAAAAATACTCCTAATGAAATAACAAGACTTTCAATCCGCTTAAATGTTGTACCTTTTTTTACATCATATATAATAATTTGTAAACGATATTTTAACGTGCTTAAATTTAGCTCAATAATTCGTAAAGCAAAACCGGTGTCCGCAATTAGGAAAGTATTCACGGAATTAATAACAAGCCGTCACCTCTGGAACAGGATCCTTTAATAATGTAAACAGCTTCTCATGAGCGATGTCCCTGACTCCGCACCATCTCGCCTTGTCAAAATTATGCCAAAGCCGTGCCAGACACAAACAGAGCCACTGCCGTAGCAAAGAGTTTGCGTCTCCCAGCTGTTCCAAGCATATCGAAACGAGATTGCCCTGATTTGCAGCCACCTGACCCGGTCTGTAATCGTTTACAATACTGGCCAGTACAAACGCGGCTAACGTTCTATGCTCGCTCTGAAATCATCATCAAACACACTTTTGTTGAGAGTTTAGCTGTGCCAGTTATCAGATAAATTAAAGTATAATGTATAAGCTACCGGAATAGAAGTATCCTGAAGCACGGACAAGAAATATTTGTGGCCGCCATCGCGCACAAGATCCGCTTGGCAAGTCTGCAGTATATTGCGGATTATACGTGAAATTAGAATTAAACTTCTTAAATGAAAATATGGATTTTGTTTGTAAAAAAAAGGTAAAGGAAGACTTACGTTATCTACTGCCAGTATCTTCGCCCATATAAAAACGAGCAAAGGTCGAAGTTCTCTGGCGTTGCTTTGTAATAACTTTAAAACGTACGGAAAGATACCGACACTAAGTGCTAGATTTACAGCCCATGGACCGAGATCGAGAAAACGTCCTAATAGTTCTAATGCTCTCAGTCTATGGACTTGGCTCAGCAGTACTTGGAGAACGATTGGAAGCTGTTCGGGTGGACTGCGTTTCTTCGATCCTAAGTTAAGCCACACTTGAAAAGCCGTAAGTTGATCCTCGAAGAATGACGAATGCACATAGCGATCCTCGTTTTCCAGAACTGTTGGCAGTTGTGCCAAGCACAGATCAAGCGCCATGTCCCAAGCTTGCCACATACGATGCTAAAAATGAAAATGTTAATTATTTCAGTAATTCAAACTTATTGGAAAAAAAATCTCTTTCACTCAAGATCAATAGATCACAGATCAGTTCACCTGATATGTTGGCGGTAATTTTGGAGATGAAACTGGCGTGCAATCGTAAGAACGAAGTATTCTCTCTGCTAGCAAAAAATTTCTAAAAAGACTGGCGACTAATAGATCTTGTCTGAACAATCTTTGAAATAGATCTATAAATAAAGAAAAAGATACGCTTATAATTCTTCCATTTTTATTTTATGTCAATAAATTCATAATACAAATTCCTTACCTCTTGGCAAAGTGTTCCATGCTATTGTATCGGTAATGGCGGTGAATATCCAATTAAGTTCGCCTAACATTGTCCTTCTATCCGTCAATTGTCCAGGGATTCTGAAAGCACACGCAAAAATGTTTGTACACCTATTTTTCCGATTACACGGCATGAAATTTAATAAGAAAATTTGATAAAATCTTACTTGTCAATGAGATCAAGCGATATATTAGGAACTAATTTGGATGTAGGCTGCATCGCAAACCTGTACAAACAAAAATTTATGCATAACACTGATATAACTTTTTTCCATTTCTTATATTCAAAATTCTTACCAACGTATTGCAATTTTTATCGGTGTAGTAAGGCATGATGTAAATATATCTGCAGGTAGATTCGGATTCATTGGTAAAATCTGATTGGCTGCACACGCTGCTAATTGGATACAATTTTTATAACACGGCGCTGCGGGACACGTTACACCAGTTGCGCGAGTTTGCTGCTTTTCCATCTGTAAAGAGCAATTTTGTTTAATTACATCTACATACTTTATTAAAGCTTAGAATTTTTAACAAATTTCTGTGTCACTTCTATGCCTTACTTCGTACTCTTTTTCATGCTGATCAGCAAACTGTTGAAAAGATTCCACGATAATGCCTGCATTAGAACAATCATATACATAAATGCTAGGCGCACCCATCCAGGTCTGCAAGTCGTACACTGATAATGGAATGTATTGTGTATATGTCTGGAAAAATAAATCACTGTTAACGCAAACATACTTATTCTAACGTAAATTAATTATATTTGATTTAAAAAATGTAATCTTTTATCATTTTTATGATGCTGCGATGATAACAACAATAAATATATTCCTTCATATGTAATGCTAATATACTGACCCTATTAAATACCCATATTTCTCCATTAGTGGTAGGTTTCGGCACACCATGACCGTTATAATGAAACAGAACTCTTTCTTCCTTGGCATTTCGTCTCAAAGAGGTACATAATTTCTTAACTTCTTCGACAGTTGGATCTAAGCTCTGCTTATAACGCGCTCTTGGTTGCCATCGTTCATATTGTTTTTGTAAATTTGAACCAATAGTTTCAAGAGCCTTTTGAGGGCTCACTGACAAAGGATCTGCAATAAATATGTATCATAAGTCTTCAATATTGTTTAAAATTACTTATTACCTATGTAAAATTATTTTGATTATCTTATAAGCGAAATCACTTTACAATATATATAAACATTTCGCATAAATATTTTATAACAACTTTCTTTAATAACAAAAAATTATACGTTCTACATTCAATATGAAATTTGAGAAAGAACATAAGAATGGAAGAATTGAGTTGTGCAGGCATTGTTGCAAAAATTAATTATTACAAGTGCTCTTACTTTCCTTTTTTTTTTTAAATAAACCATTAAATTTGTATTTTTCTTCTTTTTATTAAAATTACTTTGTATTTTCTCTTTTCACTAGAAAATTTTTTAATGATAAAAAATTTAAACTTTATCATAAAGTTATTTTGTCTAAATTTAAATCAAATACAAAATCGAAAGAAAAATTAGGCCGAACGACGCCACCTGGCAAACATTCGCGAAGTCCAATATTCCACATGCTGGACTGTGAAATGCACATGAAACATACCTAACCTCAAAGTCTCAATTACGTAACGACATGTGCATCAATAGAAAAGACAGAATGTAAATAAACGCAGGGCTGGTTTACTCACCTATCCAACATTCAAGGCGCGCGCAAGGCTGCGTCTTGACGATGTCCGGCGGGTCGACGCCAACGTTCAGACACAATACCAGAGCGACGCTCACAGTTTTCATCTAAAAACAAAAAAAAAGCACGCCATCGTATCAATTCATACACGACTCTCACGCGCGTATTGTAGATGAGAAATCGCACTCCTTCTTTTTCGCGTCGAGATCATCGTGCGTTTTACCGCTATGTTATTTTATCACATTGCGATTGCGAGTCGCATCCCACAATGTTTATGTACACGTACCCGCTCCTTCATCCGCCACGTCTGACTGATGCAATTGACGCACTCGATCGTGGCATTGTGACGAGGTTTGCAAAAAGCCAGCTGCATCTGCCAGTCCTTCTCGTCGCCGGCTCGCCTGGGTGCGCCATTCGAGACCACCATCGTCATCGTCGACGACACCGACGTCAATGACAACGCCTCGTGGCACGATTTCATCCTGGCGTAACTAACCGACATCGTCGCGTTATCGCAATCGCAGCACCGCACGTAAAAACCGTGTCTAACGCACCGGTAACGTCGCACGAATGTACAAGCACGCGTGTGCGCGTCAACGAATACTTATCACACGATCGCGGCATAAAAGCATTCCGAGTATTCCGACGAAACACAAGCTCGCCGAGTTTACCGCACGGACCACCATGTTAAGGCACAAATTCATGGAACGCTAGATAGCAGCGTTGACGCAGTCACGTGAAAAGGTACCTTAAGTATTCATTCCTCACAGCCAGTGGACGCCTTATCGTGTTCGTATGTTTATATCGTGCTATCGTTAGATGGTAATGTCATAAAAAATCTGCAACACAACCTTCTCAGAGAGAAATAAACATTTCTTATTATATTTTGCAGCGATTATATATAAAAAACATACATTGTTTTTTTCAATAACATCTTCACTACTTCAAGTAAACTTCTTTAAAAAATTAAGAAAATAAAAGACAAGAAAAATAGTAATGGGATTGGAATGATTATATAATCGTTTTGTAATTGTGTATAATTAAATAACATTAACTCATTAATGGTATGAGAAAAAAATATGTATCTATCATATAACATCATCCATATATTTCTTTATTTGTGCATTGATAGATAATTCAGAGAAGTATTTTGTAACAATAAAAGATTACATAAATTTATGTAGTTTGGTGTCAATAATCATTATAAATCGAATTTGTTGATGCAACAATATTAGTTAATTATATTTGGTATGTAACAATAGTGAAAGGATATTATTAATTATATAATAAATTCTTATATTAATTGCACTAATGCGTTGATCAATAAGTTTCTTCAATTATAAAGAAATTGTACATGTTTCTGTATCTCCATAAATTTTTAAGCATATTGTTAAAAAATATTAGCTATATTAATATATAAATTTTCGAAGTGGCGTAAAGAAAGCGATTTTCGATTATTGCATCTTATTTATTCATATAATGGGAAATTTTTCAAAAATCGGTTGTTACTTCAATTCATTTGTTCTTATCAAATATCAACATATATATCTCTCTGGTTTCTCATAAAATATATTTCTACTTATATATGTACATATATTTATTTCTCAATCTTTTTGAAGGCGACTTGTGAATCCCTACATAAAATCTTAAGCGTATATTGCAACAATTGTCATAGTTTACCGTATATAAGTTGATTAACAAAATGTAAGTATACATTTATGATCGTTAACAATAAATGATATTATAGAAGTAATAATATCATATATAAACAAAAAGTACAATATGCACGTAAGGAATTGATTATTTTCCGTTCATCTCCGCACTTATAATTTTAAATAAAATAAGAATTTTCCATAATTTTAAAATTAAAAAAAGAAAAAAAGTTTATGCAAAAAAAAGAATATCAAAAATTTTTTAGAACAGCTTTTGTCAATGTTGCAAAAAAATAAACAAAATTTGGTCAAATTTTTCGAGACAGGCACATTATTTTTCTGAACAGTCGTCTCGTTATCTTTGAAATATCCAAACTTAAAAAAAAATTGAACCTCTTCCATTTCGAGGTATCCGGAGATAAAAATTCGCCGAAACAATCTGTTTAAATAATATCCATAATCTTTATGATTAACAATCATAATCTTCATCTAATCTTTCCTCAGACATAGCAGAGACACTTGGAACACGATTTTAATCTTTCGGGGTATCCATCAAGCGGCCCGCAACGCGGCCTTATCGAGCTGCTTAACAGGTAGTTGAAAGATCAAAGAATTCAGCCACAAAGATCAATCGTAGTAGCACGTGTGTAGCCTGAACAATTCCTTGTTTATGAAACTGACGTTACACGTGTCACAGTAGTGCTTGATGCTCTCGGCCAGCTTCAGCACCGTCGGCGGCACTTTCTTGGCGCGCTTGGCAACCGCGTCCATCAGCTTCTTCGTCTGCGGCCTCTTCACCGACCACTTCGCGTGGTCGCTCTTCCTCGGCTTGCCGTTCCTCAGGTAAGTGTCCTGACTCCTCAGGCACTTGGGCGAATAATTCGCCCCGGGCAGCCGGCACACCTTCTTCGTTCTGGCCAGTCTGTTTCTCACAATGTTGGAAAGCGACTTTCCCTTGGCCAACTGGAACTTGAAGTAGTCCGTCGTGTCGTCTCGCGGATCGACGTCGCCCGTCGGTGGTTCGGTCTTGGCGGGAAAACCGGCGACCGTCGTGCCCGATAATCGAGACGCCGCGCCGGTCGCTTCGTTCAGCATCGCGTCCTCGAGATCGTCCAGAGCTTCCTGTTTTACTTTGAGATTCAGAATATCCGGCGCGCTCTCGTGTTTCGAGGGCTTCTCGCTGCACCGCTGCGTCCTCTTCTTCGCGGGACAGAGCGGAAAGGTGTTCTTGAACACCTCGCACGTCTCGCCGCGATACTCCGAGAACTTTCTCTTCTTCGGCCCGTGATAGTCCACGAGGTTCCGCCTCGGTCTCAACGTTCGCCGCCCTTCGAACTCTTCTAGCTGCTCCTCTTTGATCTGCCGCGTCGGCTCGAAGTCCAGCGCGAGTCTCATCGTCGAAGTAGGCACGTCCGACTTGCTCGCGGGTCTCGGATTCACGCTCGATGTCCTCTTCTTAACTGATGCGTAGTCCACGAGATTTCTTCTGGGTCTCAAATTCCGCACTATCGTGCTCTTAGAAGCTGTCGGATTTTCGGCAACTGTCACGGATCTACCGCGAAGACAGTTATGCGTTTCCAAAGAGGACACGTCGTTCTTGAGACCGATAACGGTCGCCAAGCGATCCCGCGCATCGGCGACGTTGACGTGCGACGAGCGCTTCTGCAGGCAGCCCGGCAGCAGCGTTTTCCTCAGGATCGGTCTCAGCCTGGTGTTCTTGAGAGTCCTCTTTCGCGAATTGTCCGCGATCTTGCCGCATCTGGACACCGATTCCTCGTAATCGCGACAGAACTCCGCCGCGGTTCGCCCCGATCTGCTTTGGTCTTTATCACAGTAACATTGACAGCGCGAGAACGTCGCGTAGGTCAGCTCGTCGTGAATGCCGTCGGCCGGAAACGCCACCGGGCCCATCGAGTTAATGTAGTCGATGTTCTCCACCAGCGGCTCGAGATCGAACACGTCGTAGTCGAGCGGTTCCGCCTTGATCTTCACATTTTCGATGTGCACCATCGGCACGCCGATCTTCTCCCTGCCGCGGCTCTTCCGCATCCACGACAACTGGCTCTTGAGCGCAGCGTCAGTCTTCAGGCAGTTCACGTAAAACTTGTGGAATTCCTCCAGTTTGTAGCTGCACCGATGGCACATCTGCTTCGGCAGCAAGTCCATCTCGTGCACCTGAAAAACGCGGAGTTAATTTGTGGAAGATCGATCGAAGAATTCGGTGACGAGACACTTTTAAGATTTTGTGAAAATCAATTTCTGGCTTTAAAAATTTATTTCGCTTGATTTTACACACGCTTTGAATTAATTTTCCTCGTGAATTTGTTTTCTACGAATATAAAAGATATAAAAAATTACATTATTGTTACACCAAATCCTTCGATTACTGCTGAATTTTTAATAAGCAACGAGATTCGTTAAAATCCTTGAAGTGAAATTGTCGAACTATGGAAAGAGTAGCGAGTGTAATAAGCCGAGCGTGCTTTGTCGCTTGATGTAGATGCGTGTAATACAGTGAACATGTGTGAATGGCATGCTGCAAGCCTGGAAACTTCCGTTCATTTAACATTATCGCGATGCGCTCGGAATCGGTCGCGATCGCTAATTGAGTTTAAATAGATTCGAGTTATATGATATGTGTCATAGATGCAATAATTTATTTGTATTTAACAATTGATTCGATATTATATTTAAAATATAAGAACGGAAACATTAAAAATGTAAATAGATGATACAATAAAGTGAAATAATTATGCTGAAGCTCGTTACAATTTTACATTCGTTATCGCAATTTTCATTTATTAATCCGTTCTCATTACAAACGAATGAAATTTGCGCAAAACATTCAATATTCTGGCTAAATTAAGGATAGCTTATCGCAAGATTGTCAAAAACAACGATTCTAACAAAACACAAAAAGAAACAAATTTTTTAATTTTAAGCTTAAACAAAAATACAATCATTGAAAATAATCGAAAATATCCGAAAAATCGAATTTTAAAAAAAAAAGAGAAATTACATACGTATTTTATAAAGATAAAGAAATAAAGAATAAAAATGTGTAAAAAATCATCAAAAATTCACAATTAAGCAAAAGAAATCCGAAGAATTAACACGCTTGTGTAACGCAACACCGATGAAAAAAATCTCCCGCGATATCCCCACGATTGGCGATGCGAAGAATCGATGAGATCGGTCGAATCTCTATCTCTCTCTCTCTCTTTGTGTCTCAAGTTACGCAATAATCGAGGCTCTCGGGATTTCGGAACGAGTTTGCGCGCAAATCCGACGAAATAACCTCACTTTTGCGAATCAATAGTTCGCGAAAGTTGATATTTTCTTCTCACGAGTCCGTCGTCTCGCATGCGAGATTTAGCGATGCGTGCCCCGTTCACGCAACGGGACACGTGCGTGCACCCTCTTCTCCTCCTCCCCGCCCACCCCCCTCCCCGTCCCTGAAATCCATTGCTTCCTCGTTCGCCAATTCGACGTGCCTGGCGAACGTGGGAATTCCGCTCTTTCTCGCTGCATTGTGGCACGTTCATCGCGTTGGAGCCGATACAAAGCGTATGCTCTGTGGCTTCGAAGGACGAAGGCGTGAAGGGTGGAATCAGGAGAGAGCACGGAAAGCGCAAACTGGCGCCAATGGAAGAGATGGATCGCGCATTCCACGGTGTAGCGATTGCGGAGGAGAGAGGGTGCGTTCCGCAGGGATCGTCCTTTGCGGAAGTAAGGACAGCGAGGTGTCTCCGACGCGCGGCAGCGCTCGTACCCCCCTTTTGAGAAGGGAGAATCGCCACAGCGAGGCGGAAAGAGGAGCAATTCGCTGAGGAGAAAGAGGCGGGAAGGAACAGACCAGCGAGCACTCGAGTGAGAACAAAAGAGAGAGAGAGAGAGGGAAAGAGAAGGATAGCAACATACCATAATCGGCAGTACGGCGTTGATCTTCCTGATGTGGTTCTCGTTCTCATCGAAGATGTTGATGGAGATACCGGAGTGCTGGCCGCAGAGACGGCACACGCGACTCGACTCGAGGGTCTCCATGCCGCGCAAATCGAAGCTCACCCCTCTCGCACGGCTGGCAATCTCGCGAGGCGCAATTAACCGCGCGCGCGGTGGCGAGTGTCCCCCTCCCACCCTTGCCGCCGGCCCGTCCCTCCTCCTCGTCTACCTGCTCGCCATGCACGCTCGCTCCCTCCTGCTTTCGCTCCACTTTCGGCTCGGCTTTCTGCGGGCTTTTCGAGATTCCCGCGGGTGGGCAGACGGGTAGGGCGCGGACGCGCGCGAGAGCGGCGACGAAGCGAGCGTAGGCGCGCGCGAGAGAGGGCCGAGCCCGCGCGGGGAGATTCGGCGCGGCGCGGCGCGAGCTGGTAAACGCTGACGGCCGGTACGTAACGGCGGATATCAGCTGTGATACGTGCGTCGTGGATCGACCGGTGGCCGGAAGAAACTCTCGGTGCGCCGGCCGCGAAATCAATTCACGTGTTGCACCGCGCACCGGGAAACAGCGACTGAGCTCTCGCCGATAATGTCGAGCGGAGCTTGAACTCAGTGAGATCTGGCGGCGGAAGTTGGTAGCGATCGCGCGCGAAAGAACAGTTACCAATGCTCTGTCGGCGGATCAGCTAATTGGCCACGTAGTTCCAAGTTTTTCGTAAGCGTAGGCGGCACCTCGCACGCGCACGATCACTCGAAAACACAACTGCGACCTCTCTGTTTTTTCTCTGATTTTGACTAATGTTTTGCTGAGACGCCATTTTCTTAGTTGACAGTTACGCGACGTATACGGTGCGCTAGTTTGTCTAAAGTTCTATTTGGATCTGTTTTATTCAGCCTCAGAATGGATGACGCCGCGCCGAGTGCATCGTCTACGCAATCCACGATGTCGAAACATGCGGAAAGAATGAAACGGCTCAGAGAACTCCACGCTAAAAGAGTAAGTTTGCATTTAATCTGCAAGTTTGCAAAATTAACCTTCGAAATGCTTTATGAAAGCTTTGATGATTAATAAAATATTGTTTAGTCGTTTTGGAAAAGAGATTATCTTATCATTTTATTACCTCAAAACGAAGGAATAAAATTAATGAAAATTCTTTTTCTTTCTCTTATTTTCAAGAATGATGTCCTAGCTCCAAGTTCTGTTCCTCCAATAAAACTTATCGTCGCAATTTGTCTGTAATAACTTAATTATGATTTATTTATATTAATAGAATGAAGCCAGAATGCAGAATCACAAGGAAGTCGTAGAAGAGGACAAAAGAAATAAATTGCCTACTAACTGGGAGTCGCGTAAAAGACAAGCCGAATGGATAATACAGGACGAATCTGCCAGGAAAGAGGCAGAAGCCAAGGTATCAATATTGATTTTATATTTTGAGTTTATGTATGTATGTAAAATTATTTCTTACTTATTTGATAAATTCTTCCAGGGTGAGGATTACGAACGAAAAAAGTTGTTGAGTATTGACGCCACAGAAGCTGAAAGAATAGCTAAGAAAAAGAGAAGCAAGCAAAATCCAGATCCAGGTTTCTCCGATTACGAACAGGCGGCGATACGTTCGTACAACAGACTGGTGAAGAACATTAAGCCAAACATGGAGGCGTACGAGGAGGCAAAGGAGAAACTTGGACCTGCCTTTTACGGAGACCGGAACACGATTTTACACGGTTTGCATGAGGATAAAAAAGACGCGATAGACAAAATGGTCACCAATCTGGAGAAACAGTAAGCGGCGTTAACAATTGTGATAAAAGTGCGCAATTTTTGGCGACTCATGTTGAATGTTTATCTTTGTTTTTTCTTTCTACAGGATTGCAAAGAGAGAAAAGTACAGCAGGCGCAGAATGCACAACGACGACGCGGATATCGATTACATCAACGAGCGTAACGCCAGGTTCAATCAGAAGCTGGAGAGATTCTACGGCGAGTACACTCGCGAGACAAAGCTGAACTTGGAGAGAGGTACGGCTATATAAACGGGAAAACGTTGTGCTGCAATTATTACAAATAATTTATATTTGTATTATATGATAATTTTTATACAAATAAGATTCTGGAAAGATTTTTGTAGTGTTTAATCAAATATATATATCTCTTTTTGTGGCTATTACCGATAATATGCCGTCTATTCTTCTGGGCGAGAATTTCTCTGGAGAAAGAGAAATGCAATTGCCAAGAAATCCCAATTAGTCAGCTTAGCGTCAGCTTAAAAACAGAAACTTTACAGCGAAACTATTCAACGACTCTAACAATGCACGGTATACGCTAATCGCAAATAAAAAATTAAATTATTACATTAGTCAATGTTCTATTACAATTGCTTAGCCCCTACAATTTGTTTATTTAATTTAAATAATAATTATATATATGTACAGTTCGTTTTTCAAAGTTTTCTAATTCAGTTCATATCATACCACCCAACTGTGCACTGTATCTGAAAAAGTAATACGTCGTAATTATTTTTGCAAAATGGTGTGAGCGGTTATTGTACCTGCAAGGTGCCAATTTTACTTGAACGAAAGCAGCGACAAAATATACTCACGCCTTGGCGAGAAATTGTGATGATGCGTTACTCGTATGTGAATATCTTGCGTTTCCCCTGCAAAATCAAACCAATATTATCGACATATTTTGTGAAATTAGACGAAATAGCATCACGCATAATACATCGAGCGAAAAATTCTTTTTCTTACCTCGAGTTCGAATCATGAGCGTAAAAAAGCATCAACGCCATAACAACAATGTTAAAAATATCATACAAAAGAAATGTAATTTGAACCAATGGAATATTAATTTGTCATGCGGTATCAAAATCAGCAAACACACTTCCAACAAACAAGTGAGAACAGAGCTTTGCTCTCTTTTATTATCCTAAAAATCCTAAAAATATCCAACCTTAATTAAGCATACAATTTCTATACTTGGTTTAACAACAGCATTCATACTCTATTAAAATGTCTTAAGAATACAGCGGGATAAAATATATCACTCCGTCACGTCGACGTCAAAGTCAATTAATATAAAAATCGATAAAATTTTCGTGATAAAACTTTCATATAAACTTGCACATGTTACAAATCACACCGCATGCTGTTAGACGACGGGTCATTCGGCTTTGGCGGGAGCGGCATTGGATGATAGTTGTCGTTGCGAGGGGCCGACGACGGCAACAAGAACGACGGCACTCCACGCATCGCCACGCCGTGCAGCACTCTACCTGCGCTGCCGCCGGATGTCAACAGCCTCGGCATGTCGCACTCCTCGCACTTGTTCATCAGCGGATGATTGTCGAACGTGCACATCGTGCAGACCCATGACGGTCCGTCGCGATCGTCCCGGTCGTTGGCGATCGCCGCCGTCGGCTGGTCCGGCTGCCACACCGGCGGCTGGCTCGGCAACGGCGGCGGATCTTGCAGACTCTGCGGTCTCGTTGGCAACGGCTGGCCGGTATAAATGCCCTGGTAAAACTCCTCGTTGGTCTCGCCCAGTGGTACTGAAAAGCGGAACTCGTTTTACTTGACAGCCACTCGCGGCCGCTCTACGGGCGCGACAAGTACCTCGTCTGTCCGACCACTGATCCACCTCGTTGGCCAATCTGTCGCACTCGAGCCGCAGCATGTATATCTCGCTTCTCAATTTCGTTTTCCGCTCCTGCAAGAATCGTTCGTTGACACACGCGTCTCGATGAGGTGAAGATAGTCGCGATTGCACGTACCTTGGGGGAACCCACTGGCCGCGAGAGCGCCTGCACCTCCCGCTTCATCGCCTCGAGTCGTCCCTTCTCGGCCTGCAACTCCCTGGCGAGCCTGTCCTTCCTGGCCAATTGCTCCGCGACCAGCTTCCTTTGGTGCTCCGCCACTAAAAATTCCAACGACAATTTTAACCGACATGCTTCGCGCGCGAAGCGCAAGTCGCGTCGCAAGACTTACTCAAACCACCGGCGGACTTTCTAATTCTATCCCGCCGCGAGCGACACTCCCGCGAGTGATCGCAGCCGCGGGGCAATCCGTTGATTTTGTTATTATTATGTCTCGCCTTATTACGATTTCATCGATCGCGGCGGCGATAACGACGTCAGATTAGATATAATAATAACGCTGCCATCAGCTGTCGCAAGTGCGTCGTAAATGAAGCGAGCGAGACGTCGCATTATCACACCGTGAACAACGTTGCATTGTTGCACCGCGCTCTCTTTCATCGGTAAAAGGGAGAGAGAGAAAAAAGAACGAAGACCGCGGGTATTGTTTAACACAAAAGCGTCCAGGAAACGCGTCAGTGGCGCGCGGGCTCTCGCGGTCAGAAAAACCGGATCAGGTGGTCCGCGTAGTTGTAACCGCGGCGTGCGGCTATGTATAGCCCGGAGCGTGGGGTCAGGAATGCGTAAATATCGTTCTCGGCGTTGCGTGCGTGGGCGTAGTACGTGCGACCGAGTGGACTTCCAGGTAAATATACGATTCTGCAACGTTAACGCGGCCGGATCCGCGCGAGCGAAAGCCGGACGACGCGCGTCGTCTCGCTACGGGCGTCGGGCATTACTTTGGTTCAGCGGCGATCGGCTCTGATCCGATCCTGCGGCGATCTGCGCGTGTTCCCCGACGGAGGAAGGCGCGACGCCGCCGCCGCCGCCACCGCCGCCGCTCGCGCCGGAAGGCGTCGTCGGCAGACTGCAAGTTGGGACGATGCTCGTCGACGGCGGCACGGACGGTGTCGTCGGTGCGCTCGTCGTAGGCCTCGGCAGCTGGCTCGGCGGTCCTGGCGGAAGTCCTGAAAAATGATACGCGCGAATCAAAAACTCGCGCTAATTCCGACATTTTTCCACGAATTCATCCATTTTCCCCGCAATTTCGCTAAAATTAGAGTGAGATATTTCGGGACGCCGTCGATACACACTTTGAACTTTATATATATATCGCGCACACGCGATCTTCGCGCGAATATATTATACACTTCTGTAAAATTCTTTTTTCTAGATAAATATTTGATAAAGTACAGACACAGAGAAATATGTCAAAGTTACTGCGAGAAACTCACAAGTAAACCTAACCTATGTGTTACTCGCCGATTTAACTGAAACTCGGCACACTCGTAGAGCGGTCAAAAACAATAGACGCGTATTTTTTTATACCGGCAGTGGTGCAAACTTTAAGGGCGAAAACTACCCTTTCGTATTTATAAGCACAAGTAGTTAGTTCGTCGCATCTAAGCGAACGATATTAGAGTTGAAGATAATTAAGCGTATTTCAATAAAATCGGCGAGCAACACAAAGGTAAGATTCACTCGTCGGACGAAATGATTTCAAGTGAAGAACACGTACCAGGCGGTCGCTGGAGACTCGTCTGAGTCGACAGCAACGGATGCGTTGGCACAGCCATCGGCGGTCTGATCCTCGCCGCTGCTACGCTACCGACGTTTCCGGGACCGATGCTGATCTGCAGGCGGCTCTGAAAGCCACGTGGATCCAACGACGAGGTCGAGTAAGTCAGGCTCGAGCCCTCCGACCTGATGTCGATCGGCGGTTGCGGCTCGGACGAGGGCGGTCTGAGGGTCAGGCTGACCGAAGTGTAGCTTCGCGTGTGATCGATCTGCGCCCTGGACTTGCCGACGGCCAGCAGCGGTTCGACGTAGTGCGGTTGCGGCACGACGACGAGGTCGCTTCGTTTACAGGCGCCAATCGTGGGCACCGTTCGAAAATCTGCCAAATGTAAAATGACAATTGAACGCGCGTGTCGCGGCGATCGAGAATGTCTCGCGATCGATTTTAGAGCCGATGGCTTAAAATCAAAAGAAGTCGACGGTGTATCGCTATCGGAGTCGCCTGACGAACTGGTCCGTCCAATTAGCCTGCGAATGACCATTGCGAGAGCTCAATGAGAACGCGATTAATAAGAATTATCTCTAACAACGTCCGCAGTATGCAGAAGCACAGCGCAGTAAAGTGATTCCGAGAAGAGCGCGTGGCGCTACTGTATAATTATATATCGTACGATCCGCTTTCGCTTTCATTACATCGTTCGCGTGGCGTATCTCTCTCTACAGATATCGCGATATTCTTATCACGTACCCCTTTTGATTCGATACCATCATTATCCAGTGACGAAACGTATAATTAATCGTATCACACATTTAACGCTCAGTAATGTCATTTTTATGACGATTAGAATCGTTGAAATTTTTCCGCAAAGTAATTTACATTATTTTCACGAGCCTTTTCAATATTGTTTGAATATCCGGTTGGGCACCGTGTGCAAAAAGCGAAATTACAGCGCAAATTCTTGCTTATAAGTAAAACTGTCGTCCAAATTCCTCGTCAATCCGTCCGTTCGGCGTTAAATACTGCGAGTACGACAACACAGCCTGCGTCTTCCGTACCGCGATTGCCCGCGGGGCTGCAGGCGACGTTGACGTTGAGCTCGAAGCCGGACGGCGCGTTGCTGTTGTTGTTGCCGTTGCTATTGACGATGCCGCAGCCGTCGTCGAAGAAGCCGCGCGACGTGCAGACGGCCGGCGCGGACGACGGAGCGGCCGCGGGCGTCACGGCGACGCGCGTGCAGCCGGCGGGTAGGCAGCGACGCGTCGTGCCGATGTCCAGCGACGCCGGTCGATGGGGACGTCCGATGCCGATGCCGCTCGCCGCTTGGTTCATCGCGCAGCAACGCTGCGGCTGGTGCGACGCGCGTCGCTGCTGCTGCTCTCGTTGCTGCTGTTGCTGCGACGGCGGCGACTGCAACTCGGTGCAAGGAGCCGGCGGCGGAAACGCGCCCGGCGACGGACGGGACTCCTGGGTGGCCCGCAGGCTTCTCGCGCATGTCTCCCGGTCGTGGCTGTTCTGCAACGCACACACACGTACCTGGATCAGCTCGCCGCCGATCTCGCCGACGTTGCCGTTTCCTCCAGATTATCGAAGACACCGCGAGGGACGACGCGCGCGTCCGAGCGCGCTCCTCTTCCGGCTTCGTCGAGATCCGTGAAAGTGCGCGATCGCTCGCAATTATTCGCCGTATTCGCGAATATCACATACACGTATGATGCGAGAGGAGTTCCAAAATTACCGGACGTCCCTTTCAGTTTCTCCGACTCCGATTAAATTTTGCATCAACAGAGCTGTCGACTGTCCGACTTTTCACCGTTTCTCCTTTAAACTTCAAACTGAATTTCACGAAAGTCTGCTCACAGCTCCACGAAGAAGATATAATCCTGACGATTGACTTTACAATTTTATCGAAAGCAAAGGATAGCGAAAAACACACATCCGGCGATTCTGGAACAGCTTGTACTTAAACAAAGGTATGCACACACAGGTTCCACGCTCGTGCAAAGTTGGGATGCAGCGATACATGACAAGGGAGGAGAGACAAGGGGGATGCGAAGATACGATGGTCGATCCTTGTTAAAGTCCCGCGTCGCGACTCGGTGTTAGGCTGACGGTTAGTCGGCGATTAAAGGGGGGGGGCGAAGGAGGGGGACGAGTTAGCGCAGCGGATTATCTCGGATGTCTTCGTGCTTGAGCTTCGGGGTGACACACGGGTGACGGCGGCAAAGGCCGCCTGTATACCTGGGCGATGCACTGGGAGACGACGTGATCAGGGAGCGCGGGGAACTGCTGCTTCAGCTCGTGGAACAGCTGCATGATAGTGATGTTAGAGCAGTGGCACTCCCCCATCGTGGGCCCCCATCCTCCTGGCAGGGCCTACCTGCGGGTGCCAGGGTTATTATCTCGTTTTTCACGCTCGCCGCCTCGTCGATGCCTCCGTCGATCGGACGCGAGGTGGATCCGGTCGGATTAATCCGCGCCAATAATGGCCGGCGCGCGCCAACGAGGAGAGATACGCGCGCACATCTCGCATAATGGCCGTGTATCGGCCGCCGCGATAACGGGAGCCAAGAGCGCTCGTAATAACGGTGCGGCGCGCACCGGCGCGAAACTTTTCCCAGAAAACTCGGCTTCATTTTGTAATTCATTGGATAAGCGCGCTGGGCCGCGGCCAGATCGCGAGCGCCCGACTCGATTTCGCGATTATCGCGCCCGCTGGGAGAAGCGGGCGGTGAGAATCGCGGCTGCCGATGATGGATTCCCGATGACTCGGCCACGTGCAACAATGACGGGAGGAAAGAGAAAAGGCGGAGAGAAAAAGAGTGAAAGAAAGAGAGAGAGAGAGACAGTGGAACCTGGCAAAATCGCGTGAAAAGTGCACACGTGCGACACGCACACTCGCGCGCCGCACACGCTCACTTCTCTCTTCCCTCGCGAGGATTTCGGCAGGTGCGACGCGTTACTCTTGGAACTTGGACCACCCTCTTGCGCCCCTCCGCCGCGCCGGGCAGGGAAGACGGAAGCTTTCCCACTCTCTCAGTGGGATATCTTATCGTATTTATAAACCCGACTGGCTGACCCATTTTTCAAGAGTAACGCATAAGTCAAACTAAATTGTTCCCTCGTTTTCTACACGGTGATCGGCGAGTCCTCATTATTTTCCACGGCGATAAGAAAGATGAAGAGTCTGTTGCATCGCGCGCAAGCGTACGTTTCTCGCGAAAAGAAAAGTGCGATCGACACGATCGATCCGATGTGTCGAGCGAAAAATCAAGATTTCGATGAGAAAAACGCGCTTCATTTCTATATTCAGACACTCGCATCCTTCTTGCGATGATTTTCCATAAATGATAATTATAAACGCGTCGTTGAGGAGAAGTCTGTACGTCTACACGCTTGCGCGCGGGATAAATTATTCGAAATTTTCCGTCAAAAACTGCCAAAATCCACACGAATCCAATTCGAAGTTCCTGATCCACTCCTACGCGACCGATGACACCCGTTACATCGCGGAATTGGCAAATACGTAGGAAGGCGGTGGACACCTGTGCGGCATGCCACGTAAGAGTGCCACATAATTAGCCGGTGCCGAAGACCACGCGTCGCCAACGGCGACGATAAAATTTTGCGAAGAACTTTATCTTGTCTTCTATTCGTGAAAAAAAGATACGCCTGTATAAAATAATCATTAATCGCAAAAAGAAAAATCGAAACATGTCGCAGTGATAAATAAATATTCCTAAGAATAAAAATATTAATAAAATATTACAAAATAAGAGCGCGGTTAAATAGCATCGATTGCACAAAAATATATTGCGGGACCAGTTTAAGTTTTCTCGATCAAAGAACATATTTTCCTCCGCAGACCGCCGTCGACTTCTCTTCTGATTTAATCGAAAATCCGGATAATGGTGCATTTAAATGTTCTCGCAAGCTCGCGATTGGCAAGCGGCGTGCGCGACGCCAATACGATCGGAAAAGACTTCGGGGAAGCGAAAAAGTCCCGGTCGCGTGGAATTCGCACTTGGCGCGCGGCCACGCGGTGAAATAAAGTGCTAGAGGGAATTAATAATCCCCGCCGCTTCCTTTTCTTCCGTCCACTCGCACCTGGCAAGACGGCGCGGGTCAGGTGAGCGAGGCATCAATCAGGAAGAAAAGTGTTTACTGGCCACGTCTTGCTTCGCGCGCATCTCGATCCATCGCGCCCATCACTTCTGCTCTCGAGTCAATTAATTAATTCAATCTAATCTGACAGATCTCACGTGAGCGTTTCTCACGTCGAGGGAAGGCGCGTCTCCGAACGTAGCTGAAAAGCTGCAGAAGCAGTTGAAAAAACACGAAAAAAAAAACCCCCCCCGAGACGGAATTCAACGCGAAATATAAATTTTCTTTATACATAAAATAAGTTTCTCTCGCGCGCGCACATCCTTCGCTTCTGTGACCATTATTTTAGATCCGTTTACACTTCTGTTCCTTCGCGGCAGTCTTTGGCAAGTGGCTCGCTTTCCACCTCGAGACTTTCGAAAACAAGTCTATACGTAAATGAGCGAAATGCAAATAAATGCGAGTGGGCAGATGGCACTCGAAGATGGTGGCCGCGCGAATTCGTTCCGCCCGTGTTCGCGAATCCTGCTCACGACCGGCCGAATAAACCGGGCCCGCTTCGTGCCAAAGGCACTTTTTCAATAGCTCAGACACGGGACGCGATCGGACGTTGCGTCCCGCCGCGATCGTCGAGAAACCGGAAGCGCGGACGGGGAAAAACGGCGTCGTCGCAGACGCGAGCGCGACTTTCCTTCGCGCAAATTGTCCATCGATTCGACATCTGAGGTTCAACGTTTTAATTCGTTGAATTCTAATTGGAAAAATACTCGCAGACGCGTGTCGCAGAGCGCGCGAGCTTTCGCCAATCAAGTTTTTTTTTTTTTTTCCGCAAAAGAGACCGAGAAATCTTTCACGCTCCTCTCATCGAGAGAAAAATAGACGACGTCTACCGGAAAGCCGCAAATTCTGACGGCGACGGGTACGTTTTAAGAGGAGAACGAAAGCGCCATTCGCGTCGGGACAAGCGAAAAAGGAAAAGCGGAATTCCAGGCTGCCGAGAAGATATTTGTGTCATGAAATACCCAAGAGACACACACGTACACGCGCGCGGATCTCGCTGTAGCCGTATTCGTCTGGCCGCGCGCAGAAACACGAGGAAAAGCAGCGGATTTCGTCCGGTATTTACGCACCCTTCCTTTTCTTTTATTCCGCGCGGAATTATTTTTAAGCGCCGCGGAAATCCGCCGCTCTCCGAACGAAGCCCGAATGTCCCCGCGCGATT